CTGACCTTTGGGTGCAAGAAGACAATATCTAGGGGTGCTGAGTGTGTGTTTGATGCTTTGGGGGCTTGCCACTGTTTTTACTGGCCCGGCTGCTGTGCTTTTAATAGTATTGTATTTTAATATTCTAGTGAAAGCTGCCCAGAGTGGCTGGGGAAACCCAGGCAGATGGGCGGGGTATAAATAATAAATTATTATTATAAATTATTATTATTATTATTATTATTATAGCCCAGCAAACAGAAAATGCACAGGATTAATTTTTATGCTATTTATCCACCCATTCAAATAAAACGTTTACCTGCTCTGTGTGTGGGGGAGAGAGAGAGAGACAGAGAGTTTCAGGCCAGTTGAAAAACACTGGCACCCCTGCCCTTGGAATAGCATTGGCCTCCTGCCTGTGTTTACGCCAGAGGTGGTGAATTCCAGCCCGTGAGCCAAATTCAGCCCTCAGACCTCTCTATCGGGGCCCTCAGGACTCTCTCCAAGAGCTGGAAGGGACCCTGAGGATCATCTAGTCCAACCCCCTGAAATGCAAGAATCTGCAGCTGCTCCATACAGGAATTGATTCTGCAAACCTTAGTGTTATCAGCACCACGCTGAGCTCAGAGTCGCTGGTTGGGCAAAAGATTCCTGCATTGCTGGGGGTTGAGCTAGATGACTCTCGTTGTGCCTTCCATCTCTGCAATTCCTTGATTTATGCTCCAAGGTGCATGATTAATCCTAAAACTTAATCCCTACATAGGGTTTCCATAGGATGACTACTAAATGAAAAACTCTGATTATTATTTTTTTTACATTTGTTCTTAGCCAAAAAGGCTGAGATGCTATTGGAAACTTCTTATTTTATTTTAGTAAAGACTCATGATGCCAACCGCAGCACACCTGAAGTACCCACTGCAGCTTCTGCATTCTAGTCCTCAGCATATTTCTATTCTGGGAGAAGCCTAAAAACAGAAACAGACTAGGAACTAGAGAACAGGCCCCCGCATGTAGCGCTCTTTGGGTTTGGTCAGTCTCAGCGGCAACAGCCTCACTGTGACATGCTTGGGATAGCCTGGCCACCCGCCTGTGGGTGCTGATCCACTGGTTGAAGACCTGTGGCTTATGGAAATTAAAGGCCAGGATGCATGCTCAATGAACAGGTCGACTGCAGGAGCTCTGGAAGGTGTCGAAGCCTCCAGAGAAAGGGCCCAGGAATCAACACGAGATCCAGCAAAGACCGAGTTTATTTTTTTTATTATTATTTTTTAAATAATTTTTTATTAAAGTTTTAAACAAACAAAAAAGAAAAACAACACACACAAAAAACAATACAAAACTTAACAATATAAACACAAAACAATTAATAACAAACTCTCTTTTCCATTTCCAATTGTAAATTACTTATTTTCTGGACTTCCTCATACCTCCTCTTTTGTATTCCAATCCACATTATTTATCCAGCAGTTTCTTTTCCACTTTTTAATCCCAATCTTTAATTTAATAAAATGTTAAAATATATAACTTCAACTTTTTTAAACCTAATCCTTGATCTTAATATCCTGTAACTTTAAAGTTTTCCCTTTTAAGATCAAATTTCCATTTCTTTAAACTTCTTTAATCTTAATCTTTAATCTTAATCTATCCTTAACTTTAACCTGTGCAGCTGGAAACCACTTATTTTCAGTCCAACATCACTCTAACATTCCTTAATTTTGCAGTGTTTCTGAAGATAGTCTTTGAATTTCTTCCAGTCTTCCTCCATCGACTCTTCTCCCTGGTCACGGATTCTACCAGTCATTTCCGCCAATTCCATATAGTCCATAAGTTTCATCTGCCATTCCTCCAGCGTGGGAAGTTCTTGTGTCTTCCAATACTTTGCGATGAGTATTCTTGCTGCTGTTGTTGCATACATAAAGAAAGTTCTATCCTTTTTAACACCATTTGGCCCACTATGCCCAGGAGAAAGGCCTCTGGTTTCTTAGGGAAGGTATACTTAAATACCTTTTTTAATTCATTATATATCATTTCCCAGAAAGCCTTAATCTTTGGGCACGTCCACCAAAGGTGAAAAAATGTACCTTCAATTTCTTTACATTTCCAACATTTGTTATCGGGCAAGTGATAGATTTTCGTAAGCTTGACTGGGGTTATGTACCACCTGTATATCATTTTCATAATATTCTCTCTTAAGGCATTACATGCCGTAAATTTCATACCTGTGGTCCATAACTGTTCCCAGTCAGCAAACATAATGTTATGACCAACGTCCTGTGCCCATTTAATCATAGCCGATTTTACCGTTTCATCTTGAGTATTCCATTTCAGCAGCAAGTTATACATTCTTGACAAATTCTTAGTATTGGGTTCTAACAATTCTGTTTCTAATTTGGATCTTTCCACCTGGAAGCCAATTTTCCTGTCCAATTTAAAAGCAAAGACCGAGTTTAAGGCAGTGAGAGATTTTACTTTCTTGGGCGCCATAATCACTGCAGATGGTGACAGCAGTCAAGAAATTAAAAGACGCCTGCTTCTTGGGAGAAAAGCAAATGACAAACCTAGACAGCATCTTAAAAAGCAGAGACATCACCTTGCCAACAAAGGTCCATATAGTTAAAGCTATGGTTTTCCCAGTAGTGATGTATGGAAGTGAGAGCTGGACCATAAAGAAGGCTGATCGCTGAAGAACTGATGCTTTTGAATTATGGTGCTGGAGGAGACTCTTGAGAGTCCCATGGACTGCAAGAAGATCAAACCTCTCCATTCTTAAGAAAATCAGCCCTGAATGCTCACAGGATCCTGAAGCTGAGGCTCCAATACTTTGGCCACCTCATGAGAAGAGAAGACTCCCTGGAAAAGATCCTGATTTTGGAAAAAATTGAGGGCACAAGGAGAAGGGGACGACGAGATGGTTGGACGGTGTTCTTGAAGCTACCAGCATGAGTTTGACCAAACTGCAGGAGGCAGTGGAAGACAGGAGTGCCTGGCGTGCTCTGGTCCATGGGGTTACGAAGAGTTGGACACAACTAAATGACTAAACAACAACAAAACTAGGCAAGAATTATCCCAGTCCAAATATTGGGGAGGGAAGAACAATCATCACTGGGTTTATCCCACAGAGCGGGAGGGGAGAGGAGCAATCTAACAATAAGGCCCGCAGGAAATTTTTTTTTTTATCACCTCTGCATCATTCGCTTGCAGTTTAACTGCCTCATTTATCAAGGCAAAGTGTAAATATTTGCCAAGTACATAGTTGTGTTCATTGCCTCTATTTTTTTTTAAAAAAAGCTCAGGAGAAAGACAAAATTAGAATTGCAGCCAGTTAAACAAGCAAACACACAAAAAGGGGGCTGCTGTGTCAGGCTGAGGAACAATAGACTCACACATTTCATTTCCACAAATCACCAGCCAGATATTTCTGAGAAGCCAACTGTGTGCTTGGGGCACCAGGCCTCAATATTTAGAAACCCTGTTCTGTGTGGGTGCATGAAATAATTCAGGACATACTGTGCACATTATGCATTTCAGAAAATTTATGTACCATTTGGTTGTGTAATAAAAATTTAAGGTCTTATATATACAGTGGTACCTCGGGTTATATTCGCTTCAGGTTACATACGCTTCAGGTTATAGACTCTGCTAACCCAGAAATATTACCTCGGGTTAAGAACTTTGCTTCAGGATGAGAACAGAAATCGTGCAGTGGTGGTACAGCAACAGCAGGAGGCCCCATTAGCTAAAGAGGTGCTTCAGGTTAAGAACAGTTTCAGGTTTAGAACAGACCTCCAGAACGAATTAAGTTCTTAACCCGAGGTACCACTGTATAATAAATGTTCATAAATGTACCAACCAAGCGCGTACATAGATATGTGGACCACATGTCTGGAGCAGCACAGGAAGACCGTCTTGTAACCATTTAGACTCCCAAACTGACCAAATGTTTTCTCTGCAAGGAGGGAGGGGGTGAGGGAACCTTCCCATTGTCTCAGGAATTGGGTAATCATCATCTAAAAGGAATGGCCAGACTACCAGGAAAGGCAATCAGATAACCTGGCAGACAGGAAAAACAACATACAAATTTCTGTTGTAGACTGCCTTTTCTGTGATGTAGGTATGATGTTTGTGAGGGGTAGTCTTGGGTTACACACCTTCTGTGATGATGTATGTATGATGTATGGAGGGGTGCTCTTGAGCTCCAGGGGAGGCAATTTAAAATGTCTTTATAAGGGCAGGCAACCTTGGTTCTGGGTCCTCCTCCTCCTCCTGCGTGTGAGGGGAGCACACTGTTGCAACAGTTCAATAAAGTTCAGGCTTACTAGCTGCTTTGCTTCTCAGTATTCTCTGGTGGGCCTCTGTTATTTTCTCCTACCGATGGAGAACCTACAAAGGACTCTATAAGGGCTCTTGTGTCCCCCATAAGGGAATAAGGGCAGATTTTGTTTACAACAGTTGTCAAAACAAAACAAAACAGAAAGCCAAGCCTCTAAGTGGTTTACAAAAATACAAAGCAGAATGTTAAAATTCTGGGTAGAAAAATCAATGGTTAAAAACAAGGATATAAAAGCATTCCAAAGATGCGTTGCGATCAATAATAGCTAGAGATAAACACATGGCATGATGCACACAGAGGAGCAGCGTGTCAGGGAGGAGGAGGTTGGGCAGGATCCTTGGGAAGCTAGCTTTCTATATAGGACACACCCACCCCAGCTGCTCTGAAGATGAGTCAGTGGTTTTCCAGGTCACTCAGGAGTGGTAGAGCCCAGATTTGGGTCGACAGTCTCATGGAAGACTGTGCCATGTTACAACCAAGGCTAAAAACAGAGCAGGCACAGCGCTGTGCAATTTGGCAAACTGCCTCATTTGCCAGAACGGTGAATGTCGTTCTCATAACCACTAGGGGCTGCTGTAAGATGCTGTTTGTTTTTCCTTGAGATTGTAGAATCCTTCATATCATAGAATTGTAGAGTTGGAAGGGGCCACGAGGGTCATCTAAAACAACCCCTTGCAATGCAGGAATTCTTTGCCCAAGGTGGGGCTCTGACCCACGACCCTGTGGTTAAGAGCCTCGTGTTCTACCGACTGAGCTGTTGTGCGGCCTAAAGCGAATCTGCATTCTCTGCCCTCAATGGGGCTGGTGCAGAAGCAGAGGGCGAAAATGCAGGGAGCCCAACAGGAGGTGGAGCCAGAGTCAAAGGCAGGCAGAAGGATAGCCATAGCCAGGTGGAGCCAGCTATCGTTTGTCTCCATCCTCTTTGCCGCTGAGGACAACATTGAGGCAGAAGCTGATAGGCAGGCAGCTTTGGACTGGGTGAGGAGAGGTGCCCCATTTGGACCGGCCTCTGCTGTGGAGGAGGGGAAGAAGTTAGTTTGTAATTCCTCCCTCTCTCTCGGGAGAAAGATGGTCAGGTGGAAAAGTGTATCAGCGCTCCTGCACCTTTAATTGGTAGAATAAGGAATTTCCATAGGTGTGCAGCTGTTGAAATTCCCTCTTGAACACAACCATTAACGTGGCAGCAACTCTTGCCCCCGCTTTTGCATCTGGTTTGCCAGCTGCATCTAAGCAGGAAAGCACCTGAATTGTGTATAGCCGATCCCAGGTCTGCCCCATGGGTACGTCCAGAATTTATGTTGGGAGGGTGGCAGGAGACCCACCTGTCTTGTTCCAGAATGGAGCTACCTGCCACGCGATTGGCCGGGTTGCCAGTTTTGTCGCTGCAATGCGCCGCGACATCATTTAAGCGACCTCCGCGAGCATTTCCATTTCAGATATTCTGATTATTTCTACTTTTAGTGAAGTATTTTTATTTGTTTACTTGATTTGTGGGGTGGGCAGCTGAGCCCCTTGCTACGCCCATGGTCCGATCATTGGCAGCATCTTTAGGTCAGGCTGGGAATGTTCTTTGCCCGAAACCCTGGCGAACTACTACCAGCCAGTGCCGGCAGTACTGAGCTGGGGATCTAAAGGCCTTGACTCAGCGTAGGCAGCTTTCTGCATCGATCAGCGATGACCTTTGAAGGACAGGAAGCATTGCTGTTGTTTAGTCGTTTAGTCATGTCCGACACTTTGTGACCCATGGACCAGAGCACGCCAGGCACTCCTGTCTTCCACTGCCTCCCGCAGTTTGGTCAAACTCATGCTGGTAGCTTCGAGAACACTGTCCAACCATCTCGTCCTCTGTCGTCCCCTTCTCCTTGTGCCCTCCATCTTTCCCAACATCAGGGTCTTTTCCAGGGAGTCTTCTCTTCTCATGAGGTGGCCAAAGTATTGGAGCCTCAGCTTCAGGATCTGTCCTTCCAGTGAGCACTCAGGGCTGATTTCCTTTAGGAGGGATCGGTTTGATCTTTTTGGAATCCATGGGATTCTCAGTAGTCTCTTCCAGCACCACAATTCAGAAGCATCAATTCTTCGGCGATCAGCCTTCTTGATGGTCCAGCTCTCACTTCCATACATCACTACTGGGGAAACCATAGCTTTAAATGGGCCACTGGCCTGATTCGGTGGTGCTCTTCTCATGAGTAATGAGAGGGAGGGTTGCTGTGTGCTTCCTGGAGCCCAAAAGAGAACAGGAGTCTGGATTCCAAGAGCACTTGGCCTGATCCAGAAGCTTTTTCTGTTCCCTTTAAAACAAAATAAAAATTGTTTATTTGGTTTTCAGATCCAAGTTTTACAACCGCATATCCAACATACAACATAAAAACAAGATTCCAAAGAATCTCTTGAACTTCCCTCCTCCCCTTTGTGGGTCTTATTGTTAATCATTCCCTCCTGCATCTTTTATGATAATCCAAATCTTTTACATCTCCATTAGGTCCAAAATTCACCATTAAACTACAAGTGTTATTCCAGTCCTGCTAAAAGTTTTAACTGTTTACAATGGTTTTTAAGATCAATTATAAATTTCCCCCATTCCTTGCGAAAACTCTGGTCTTCCTGATTTCTGATTCTTCCAGTCATTTTTGCCAATTCGGCATAATCCATCAACTTCATCTGCCGTTCTTCTCTGGTAGGGACTTTATCTTCTTTCCATCTCTGGGCCAATAACATCTGTGCAGCTGTGGTCGCATACATAAACAGCCTTTTCTACTCCCTTGAGAGTCAGCGTGGTGTAGTGGTTAAGAGCAGTGGACTCGTAATCTGGTGAACCTGGTTCGCTTCCCCGCTCCTCCACATGCAGCTGCTGGGTGACCTTGGGCCAGTCACACTTCTTTGAAGTCTCTCAGCCCCAGCCACCTCACAGAGTGTTTGCTGTGGGGGAGGAAGGGAAAGGAGATTGTTAGCCGCTTTGAGACTCCTTCGGGTAGTGATAAAGTGGGATATCAATTCCAAACTCTTCTTCTTCTTCCTTGGGATTTCAGCACCTAGAATTCCTAAAAGAAAAGCTTTGTTTTGTTTTGTTTTGTTTTAAGAAAAAGTTACTTTAAACATTTTTATCAACTCATTATAAATCATTTCCCAAAATTATTTTACTACCTTACATGTCCACCACATATGATAAAAAGTGCCTTCTTTTTCCTTACATTTCCAACATACATTTGACCCTCTTTTATACATTTTTGCTAATTTACTGGAGCTCTTTCTGTTCTCAGCAGCAGCAAGCTCTCGGGGTCAGCAGTGTCCCTGCCCGACACTGCAGGGGTGTTTTTGGTCTCAGCAGCTCCCCACCCCCGGGAGAAAACACAGGTCCTGCAGCCTCTGCAAAGAGCCTGGATCTGACTTTGTTTTTTCCTCAAACCTGTTCTTTATTACCATCAGGAGCTGGGAATTTTCCTTGCTCCTAATAAAAATGCAGAATGTCTGCACTAGGTTATAAAGCAGCTGAGAAGTGCCCTCGCATATCTTAAGAGAGAAATGGCTTCTTGTTTGATGACTCAGACTGGACCTCCGCTGACTTTTCTTAAGAAGCTGCAGGTGAGCTTGGAATGGTGTGTGGGTGTGCTTTGCCTTGACATTAGAGTTATAGAAATGGAAGGGACCCGGAGGGTCATCTAGTCCAACCCCACCGGATGTGCAGGAATCTTTTGCCTCTAGGAAGGATCCCACAATCTCAGCGGCCGCCGTTCCTTGGGTTGGAAGGGAAATTGGAAACAGTTGGCATTTTAAAGCAAATCTACCTAATCTGTACTTTCCAAACAATAAGGGAATAGGAAGACAGTCCAGTTTCGTACTTCTCTGAATTTTGCAGTGCCAACGACTCCAGCCTAGGTTATGAGTGTAAAAAGAGCTGCACTGTACTGGGGTAAAGTGGGCCTTAAAATGAATATAAATAGAGAAACTAATATACATTCTATTTGGGGGAAATTGCTTTGCAACGATGCGTGTGTGTGGCAGAATTGAATACACAAATGTGTAGATCAGCAGAAGTTTGTACTAAAACGCCTGTGGGTTTTCATGAGGACTTAAAAAAATAAATTTGCAAATTGACGTGAAAATATGGACAGCTGGAGTTAAGTGTAGAAAAACAGAGAGATGGGCAGAAATTGAAATGAACAGATTGGTCCACTGAATTGAATTCCCCCCACATCCCTTAAAATATCAGCGATTGTCATACACATATGAAGACACCACTATATCAAAAAAGCACATAGAAAAGAAAGGGAAAACATAAAAAATAAAAAATAAAAGCACACAAATTCCTAGAATTGTAGAATTCCTAGATGTCACTATTCAGATGACATATTAGTATTCCATGCTTGAGTACATCAAAAGCATTGGCTTAGAGAACAAATATTCTTGAGGAAGAAATGTGCAGAACATGTGTTGACCAGGTTATCTCAAAATTAATCTGGAGTTCAAAAGCTAAGAGACGCAGATGTTGACAAGTTTTAATCTCATTTCAAAAATGTTAATTGTCTTTAAATGGCCTTTAATTGGTTTTAACAGTTTTTATCGATCATTTTAATATTTCTTCAGAGGTTTTACGACAATCAAGCGGTATATATACAATTTTGTAAAATAAACAAGTACGGAAACGTGTGCATATTGGGAGAAACTTGCACTAAAACACTGACCAATTTTCATGTAGTTTTAAAAAGTGAAAACTGTAAATCGCTGCAACAAAGGGAGAGCCAGTGTGATGTAACAGTTAAGAGTACCAGACGAGGAGACCCGAGTTCAAATTCTCACTCAGCCATGAAGCGCATTGGGCGACTTTAAGCCAGTCGCTGCCTCTCAGCCTGACCTACCTTTCAGGGTTTGTTGTGAGGGTCAAACAGGGAGGGGAGAACCTCACACCCCACCTTGAGTTCCCTGGAGGAAAGGCTAGCATATAAATGTAACAGATGATAATAATGATAATGATAATAATAATAATAATAATAATAATAATAATACAGTGGTACCTCAGGTTAAGTACTTAATTCGTTCCGGAGGTCCGTTCTTAACCTGAAACTGTTCTTAACCTGAAGCACCATTTTAGCTGCTCCTGCTGCTGCTGCGCTACCGTTGTGCGATTTCTGTTCTCATCCTGAGGCAAAGTTCTTAACCTGAGGTACTATTTCTGGGTTAGCAGAGTGTGTAACCTGAAGCGTATGTAACCCGAGGTACCACTGCAGATGTGAAGAGCTGAATTTAAAGGTTGGGGAAACGAGAGAAACGGAAACAAACAGGTCCATCCATCTCTGTCTCAGAGGCCTTCTGCAAATGGAACTTGGGTCTAGATGGGTTTTCCTCCCTCCAGCTCCAAGCTATTCTTAGCTGCGTGGGTGGCCCAACTCTCTGCTTCTAGCCTATTAGCCAGAGTGCCCATTTGGCCAGACGCAGCAAGAATTTCCATCTCACACAGAAATGCTCCATCTTCTGGCTTTGAAAAGAGAGACTGGGATTTTTATTTTTTTTAAAGCAAAATGCAACAGTCTAGCTATAAATATGCCTATCTGGACCCACCTCATAGCCATTCTAAAATATTGATTGCCTCTCTCTTTTCTTGCAGAGAGGCTGGTTTCAGGTCTGCGTCGGTATCGATCCCATTGCAAAGGGACTAGGACTGTTGCAAAGACCCCGTGAGAAAGAGGTGGGGGTGGAGGGTGGGAGAATATCAGAACACGGGGCGCTAAGCAAAAGTTAAAGGTAAAGGAACCCCTGACCATTAGGTCCAGTCGTGGCCGACTCTGGGGTTGCGCGCTCATCTTGCTTTATTGGCCGAGGGAGCCGGCGTACAGCTTCCGGGTCATGTGGACAGCATGACTAAGCCACTTCTGGTGAACCAGAGCAGTGCACCGAAACACCATTTACCTTCCCGATGGAGCAGTACCTATTTATCTACTTGCACTTTGACATGCTTTCAAACTGCTAGGTTGGCAGGAGCAGGGACCAAGCAACGGGAGCTCACCCCGTCACGGGGATTCGAACCGCTGACCTTCTGATCGGCAAGTCCTAGGCTCTGTTGTTTAACCCACAGCGCCACCTGCGTCCCATGCAAAAGTTACAGTGCCTCAAATCTATCTGGCCGCTCTTGATTCCCATGTCGTGTGTGTCATCGAAATAATTAACAACAACAATAGTAATGTTTATTATGTAGCATAGGAATGGAGAACCTTTTTTTCAAACCAAGGGCCACATTCCCTTCCAGGAAATCTTCTGGGGGCCACATGCCGGGGGTGGGCAGAGCCAGAAGCAAAAGGAGGAGATGGAGGCACAAAGTTAAATTTACTTCTGTTCAGGCAACCAAGAGTTCAAGGGTGCATTCCAGCCAGGTAGGAATGCTCAAGGAAGGTGAAAAGGGTGTGGCCTGGGGAGAGTCTTGAGGGCCGCAGAGAGAGGCCTGGAGGGCCACACGGGCTGCTGAGCTGGAGGTTCCCCCAATTAAGTAGTTAAATATCATATCCAAAGTAGCAGCTCCATGAGTCATGTCTGTAATAAGCCTGACGGGCACTGAAGATTCTCCAAGATGGCAATTACCTTAAGAGTTCATCTGAGGATTTATAGCAGGCATAGGCAAACTCGGCCCTCCAGATGTTTTGGGACTACAACTCCCATCATTCCTAGCTAACAGGACCAGTGGTCAGGGATGATGGGAGTTGTAGTCCCAAAACATCTGAAGGGCTGAGTTTGCCTATGCCTGATGTATAGAGTGCTTTTGGGGTTAAATAATACCTTGCAGGGGAAAAGGAATTTATAAGCTCTTTGCTCAGAGGCAGAACATCCCTGCAGCAGCTGCCCACCCATGGGTGGAAGGCAGGGGGTCCAGCAGTAGGTGACACCAGAGCCAAAGACAGGCAGAGCCAACTAATACAGTTTTGGCTTCCTCCTCCTTGCCAAGTTCTACAAGGGGAAACCCTGGGACTAAGGAGGAGGACAGGCAGTGTCAAAGAGTGAGCCGGCAGCAAATCGCACTGTTCTAAGTTGGAGTTAACTCTTTATTAGCAAAAAACACGATCTTTGAAGATTTGGCTGAGTGTGAGGCCTAATGAGCAGAGTAGCTCATTCCTGATTTCCTCCATGAAAATAATTTGCTGAGACTGAACATTCCCACCTCCTCACAGCCATCTACAGTGGTACCTCGGGTTAAGTACTTAATTCGTTCTGGAGGTCCGTATTAACCTGAAACTGTTCTTAACCTGAAGTACCACTTTAGCTAATGGGACCTCCCGCTGCTGCCGCAGTGCCGGAGCATGATTTCTGTTCTCATCCTGAAGCAAAGTTCTTAACCGAAAGCACTATTTCTGGGTTAGCGGAGTCTGTAACCTGAAGCATATGTAACCCGAGGTACCACTGTAAGTGCTTCCCTTTCCAGGGCTTTCCCCAAGCAATCGGAGACTGGGCCTGCATGCAAGCCTGCTGCTCCTCCACCCATTTCAGCCCTCTTCTGTTTCTGGGAGACAAGTGGGGAGGGATCTTGTGGCAGCAGGTGGGAGAGACACCCCTGACTCTTCACCAGCCTTACTCATCTCTGCCTCTTGGCCCCCATCCTCACCTGCTTCTGGACTGCTTTCTGCCACAGACTCTCCCAGCTCACTAACCCCGGGAACTATAGTTTACCCCTCGCATTGCTACAGTTCCCACCAACACAGAACAAGAGGCAGTTTCCAGGGATCTTGGGGAGCCGGCACAGCCAAGGTTAGGAAGGGCGCAAGGGATCTGCGATCCCCTAACCGCGCCACTGAGCCAGATTTCAGCAGCGATCCCCGGAGGCTGGTCAGCGGGGCTTACTTCCGAGTGAGCGCGCAACGGATTTGACAGTGTCGTGCGCCCTGCGCGCAAAGCACATCCCACTCCATTGCAACCCTGCTCTTTAAGGGTTGGCGATCCCTGGGATCTTATTCCTCCGGCTCCTCCCCCGCCTCTCCCTCCCCTCCCCCGCCTCTCCACCCCCTCCCCTTTCCCCTGATGCTCCCACCGCCGCCCCCTTTCCTTCCTAGTTCAGCTCCGCCCAGCCCCGCATCCTCCTTCCACCGCCGCCAACCACCTCTCTCAATCTCTCTCTCTCTGCATATCGCAAAATTGTCCTTCTCCTCCTCCTCCTCCTTTCGGATCCTTCCTCCACCTCCCCAGCCGATCCTTCCCACCACCGCCACCCCGTTTCAAGTTGGAGGAGGGAGAGTCCGGAGGAAAGGAGACCAGAAAGGAGTCAATGTTTTTGCAGCCGCCTGCAAATCCTGCGGTCAGTTTCCTGGTCCGTTTCCACGCTTCCCTTGGGGATCCTGCTTCGGCTTCCTCTCTCCGTGTTAAGATTGTTTGCAAGTTTTTCAGGGGAGGGAGAGGGTAGCTTGCGATAATAAACTGCCCCCTAGTGTTGTGCGTGTAGCTGCTGGGCTGGGCGAGGGGGCTGGGCGGGAAAGGAAGTTCCTTAAACCTGGGAAAGTCCTTCGTGCGCATAGAAACTTTGGTGACCCGTATCCGTGATCCTGCTTTTTCTGCTTTGCGCTCCCCTCCCCAACCCCAACCCCCTCGCTTCCTACAGCACAAGGAAAAAGGAAGTTTAAGAAAAAGTTTTCTCCTGTGCACGCGCGCACACCTGGACTCGAGAAGAAAGGAAACAGCGGAAGGAGATGGAATAAAACGGTGCAATCTCTGGTAGAGTTTTTTTTTATTGTTGGGGCTTCTTTTAAAACCCTGCAGTTTCTAGCTGGAAAGAGATGAGCTTGCCCTTTGCCCCAGCCTCTATTCCTTCTCACTGACTCAGACTATGAGGATTGTTAAGCCAGCCTGGTCCTGTAAAGAGAAGAGGAAAAGGAAGGATCCATCTGGGAGAATTTAAAGAAAGACCATTGTTATTGTTATTTCAACGGACTGGCCGTTCGGAAAGAGGGCAAGCTGCTGTTCTTGGGTGCTCACGAAAACTCGGACCAGATGGTACAGCGGCGAAGAAAAGCAAAAAAATAAATCCTTTGGCAAGGAAGCTCCCGGGATGGGGACTGGGCTGTGCACCAGGAGGCAAAAGGGCCTCTTGCAAACTGGGTTTTGCCTAGTGGCCGTGGCCTGCCTGGCATCCGGAGCTTTCCTGTACAACCACCTCCAGCAGAAGGTGAAGTCCGCAGAAGCCTTGGCTTTGAAATACAAGCAGCAACAGGAGGTGCTTTCGGCTCAATTGCAAGGTGAGAAGGGGTCTTGGCTTGCTTCGTTCGCGATTGCGTTTCCTGCTGGTCTGTTAGGGCAGATGGGTGCTGCCCTACCAACCTCAGTCTGCCCGCAGCCAGGTCTCCCTGGCCTGTCTTCTTCCTTCCATCCAGTCCAGGGGGTGGCCCTGCCTACCAGCTTCCTCCTCCTTAGGCTCAGTGGTGCCCCTTGTGGGACTCGGCAGGGAAGAGGATGGGGACGAAACTAGAATTAGTTGGCTCTGGTCCTTTCCCATCATGTGCAGCACACATGCATACAATTTAATATCTAAAGCAACTGGTCTATGCAGTCCAGGGGAACAGAGCCTGGGGGGCCTCCAGATCTACTCCTGAACATCAGCTGGGGCTGGGAGTTGGAATTCAAGAACATCTGGAAAACCACAGGCTGTCTATTTCTGGTTAGTCCTGCAGAAGCTAGTCTGAGGTCACTGGGTGCTTGGTGTTGTTTTTATTGTTTATTAATTCATGTGCCATTTTTAGGCCAAAATGGCTTCTACAACAATAAAATACACACATAATTAAAGCATGCAATAAAACAAGTCCACATAAACCTTAAAAACACTCCTAATTTAAAATTACACAAGCCATGACAATTGCATAAAAAGCATGACAATGAAAACGGCTAAAACAACAAGATCAGAAGTTCCAGTTCAAGGGATTGCTTTCCTAGACAGGTGTGTCTTCAGGAGCCGGCAGAATGCCAATACTGATGGGATCTCTTGCATTTCAGCAGGGAGGGTGTTCTGCAACAGTGGTGCCACCACTAAACAAGCCTGCCTCTTCGTCTCAACCAGGTCACATTTGCTGATCACAGTGCCCTCACTGAACAGTGGAAGGGAGCATGGTTTTTTAGGGAACCCAGTCCAGATTTATTTAAGGCTTTGCATGTAAATAGCAGAACCTTAAAACTGACTTGGTGGCTATCAGGCAGCCAGTGCAGATTCCTCTTTCCTGTTTTGTGTCCCACCTTGTGGTGCTCAGAAGTGTCTGTATACATCTATGGTAGGGAACCTGTGGACCCACAGATGTTGGACTCCATCTCCCATCAGCCACAGCCAGCAAGGCCTGTCCTTAGGATGCTGGGAGCTGTCACCCAGCAACATCTGCAGGACCACAGGTTCCCCAGCTGTGGTGGACCTGGAAGCTCCATCAAACGATCATCATGCCTCTTCACTGATAGACCTTCCCTACATGGGTGTGTCTAACCGTTGGTGGTGGGTAAGCTTTGAGCTATCTAAGTTTACCATCATATTTGGTGACAAACTTAGTGCATCTAGATGATTTTAGATTCCAGGGTTAATAGTCTTAGGCTGCGGTCAAAGGGCAGTTGATACCATTTGCCCAGCTGCTGATTTCCGCATCACACCTGAGCTTTCGCAAGACATAAAACCTACTTCCAGAAATATAGCAGAAAGTTGCGTGACTGGCACTTGTTTCCAAGTTACTTTTTCCTGGAAGCAAATACTGTATTTTTTGCTCTATAAGACTCACTTTTCCCTCCTAAAAAGTAAGGGGAAATGTGTGTGCGTCTTATGGAGCGAATGCAGGCTGCGCAGCTATCCCAGAAGCCAGAACAGCAAGAGGGATTGCTGCTTTCACTGCACAGTGACCCCTCTTGCTGTTCTGGCTTCTGAGATTCAGAATATTTTTTTTCTTGTTTTCATCCTCTAAAAACTAGGTGCGTCTTGTGGTCTGGTGCGTCTTATAGAGCAAAAAATACGGTAATATGGAACCAAGCACTAAACTTGGGCTCCACTCTGATGCCTTAGAGGTCATTGGTGGGTTTGGCTGCCCAGCAGGGAAACGCCAAAGGAAAACATTAGGGAAGAACCGCGAGGAGGGCGGGAAATGCCACTGGAATGACCCAGGCGCCATAGACTTCCCCTGTTATTTCTGTTCATGATACCAGACTCATTGAATGACTATTGGCCATGCCACCTGGGGGCTGTTGGGAGTTGTATGCCATCCAGAACTTCTGGAGTGCACCAGGTCAGGGAAATCCAATTTAGGAGGATTGCTCATTATGCTCTTCAGGGTTTGAAAGACCAGGCCTTTTGCTGCTTGAAAAACCTGAGGTCACCAGGGATGCAGAATCACAACACAGACAACACACAGCGTTGCTGTTCTGCTGATGTCAGCTCCAGAGCTTGCCCCCTGGGATCAAAAGGCAAATAGCTTCTCCTGGCACCATGCGCTGGCTATTAGTCTGGAAGGACCAGCTGGGGAGTTCAGGAAGGAGCTTTAAACATACCAGAAGTAGCAGCAGCACACTGTTTGTTTTTCATTATCTCTTCCCTGCCTCCAACTCGCATGCAGGCATTCTTCAGAAACTTGCAGTTACTGAACTCGGAGCTCATGTCCAATGGAGGGACATTCTTATGTTATAGCAAAATGTCCCCTCCTCGCTGCTCCCGGATTGACGGGTAACTGGTGGTCTCTGGGACTGGATCCAGCTGCTTGGCAGATTCCGCCCTTCCTGCCTGCCTCTTGGCAGGGTCCTCATCCAGGCCTGATCAAACGTTTGGCAACAGTTTTGCTGGTGTGGGAAAGGGAAGGCGGGGATTGATTTCTGATTTCTGCAAGGAATATGCCGTATTGGCCTGAATATAAGCCGCACCCGAATATAAGCAGCACCTTTAACATTGCCGGCTGCCTTTTCTCTTCCTCGCTCTCTCCCTTCCTGGCCTTGGGGGAGAGGATGGGGGACTATGCATGGGGCAGGTGTCATCTTGCTGCGCTCCTGGCGCTGTTTGCCCCAGGCTCCTGGCTGCATACCGTAAGGTCGCGAATATAAGCTGCTCTTTAACTTTTCACGGTTGGGATTTGGGGGGAAAGTGAGGTTTATATTCAGGCCAACACAGTATTCCACGCTTTGCTGTTTGGGGCTTGGAAGACTGGTTCCTTACTTACCTCCCCCCCCTCCCCCCTGGTTTTCAGGGCTGCCACTTCCTTTAAAAGCAAAGCAAGGTGCTGGTCCTCATGATTCTTAATAAAGGGCAGGTATAAATAGGAACATGGGACTGATCTAATCAGATGCACTTGCGGAAGCCAGAGCAAGAGCTTTCGCCCAGTGCCTCTCCCCATATCCACTCTGGGGGGGTTGGGAGAACCCCAGGACAGCGTATGGGGGGAAGAGGGGGGGATAATCCCATCAGGGGAAGCAGAAGTGCTTGTGGGAATGGAACAATTAATTTCACTGGGTCTACTCTGAGGAAGACTTAGTTGGGCAGAAGCCGGAAGGTTTTTTTTTACTGTGCCTGTATCACATTGCTTATAGGTGATATTGTTTTGCTCCTGCAATGGTTTCGGGATGGGCAGGCTGTTTTGTTTCCAATCCGTGCATGTCCTGTAACTTCCTGGTGATGTCCTGCCACTTTTCCATGTCTCTCTCTCTCTCTCTCTCTCTGTGTGTGTGTGTGTGTGTTGCTGTCCCATTTTTGTTGTGCATTAGTGCAAGGGTTGCCCCTCCAGATGAGAGCGATTTGTGGCGGTCACATTTATTTTTTAAATATTTGTATACTGCTGCGGCGTAACAAATAATATCATAGCGCTACCGTGATAAAAAATGTAAAACCAAATGACAAAAACCATTTAGAAAGTTAAAAACAAAAAGCAATTAAACCATAGTGGAAGGACGTATTCTTAATAGCCGGCAGAAGAGAAGGGTTTTCAGCAGCAGGCATTTGGCACAGAAGGTGGCCACTGAATTTCTTGCTAGCAGCATATTCCACAGGACTAGGCTGCTTGTAACAGTCTGACTGAGACGGCGTTTTTAATGACATGTTGCAGATACACCCACCAAAAACCCAGGACCAAACAGCAGCCCGGAGAGAGACCCTTTGGTGTCCACATTTGCTAATTGTGGAGGGTTTCCTTCAGTTCTCTGGCTTCAACAGCTCTGATTCCAACCGCCACCTTGGTGATTGTTCCTGTATTACTTTTCCCAGAATACCTAGGGAAATGCCTCCTTCTGGGCCATTGCAGAGGGAAAAAAAACCCCCAACCCAAATTCTGGCCCTTTCACCCATGCCAGATTGCTCCTTTGAAGGAAGGGCCATAGCTTAGTGACAGAGCTCCTGCTTTGCATTCAGAAGATGCTGGGTGGTGTAGTGGTTAGAGTGTCACATTAAGACGTGGGAGACCAGGGTTCAAGTTCCCACTCAGCCAGGTGACCTTGAGCTGGTCACTGCCTCTCAGCCTAACCTTCCTCGCAGAGTTGTTGTGGGGATTCAGTGAGGGTGGGGAGGGAACCACACCCACCAGTTTGAGAGCCAGTGTGGTGTAGTGGTTAAGAGCGGTAGATTCATAATCTAGGGAACCGGGTTCGCGTCTCCGCTCCTCCACATGCAGCTGCTGGGTGACCTTGGGCCAGTCACACTTCTTTGAAGTCTCTCAGCCCCACTCACCTCACAGAGTGTTTGTTGTGGGGGAGGAAGGGAAAGGAGATTGTTAGCCGCTTTGAGACTCCTTCGGGTAGTGATAAAGCAGGATATCAAATCCAAACTCCTCCTCTTCTTCCTTGGAGAAAAGGCTGGGGCAGAAAGGCAATCCGTCAATCAATCCCTGGCATCTCTAGATAAGGCAGAGGTAAAGAGGCCTGAAAGCCTAGGGAGCTGCTGCCAGCCCGTGCTGACAGTACTGAGCTCCATGGGCCAAAGGTCTGGCTTGGTGTAAGACAACTTCCTGCATTCCTTTCCAGCCCTCCATCTGATATCCAAAGGGTTTCTAAATGTTTTTCCTGCATGCTTTGCTTGGGGCCTGAATGAGCTCTGGCATTCTGGCCGAGCGCCAGTTCTGGTAATTACGGCTAGAGATGCCTGCTCTGCTTTCCCAGCTGGCTACACTTTTCTAGAATAGAACTGCGGAGCAGGAGAGAGAGAGAGAGAGACCCTCAAAGGTCTTCTAATCCCATCGTCCAGACCAAGCTTGACGAAAAGCCCTGGCAGAGACGAGCTCGAAAAACGTTTGAGCTGCGGTTGGGGGCAAAAATCTTAGAAGCATGGAAGAAGAAAGAAGTATAAATGGTTTCTCTCTGTGTGTGCATAAGTCACATACGGATAAAATCTCCCTTGAATAGCAAACTCGGCTGCTGAGTGCCAATCAAAACAGAGCCAAAACAGGGCTGTTGAGAAATATAAGGGGAATCTCAGCAGACTTGGGAGAAGAGTGAAATTGATAGAGGTACGAGACACCAGATCGCAAACAGATCTAAGGGTGCAAAAAAAAACCCCAACAACCCTCCCCGGCCTTTAAAAAACCCCCAGGAACACTGAATATTTTTAATGCAAGCAGGGGGCAGGCAGATCTGGAGGCAGGCATGACTGGGGCACATTTAAAGCCCATGGCTTCCCCCCCAAAGGATCCTGGGATTCGTACTTTAGCCCTCACAGAGAAGCAGTTCTGAGCACCTTAACAAACTACAGCTCCCAGGATTCTTTGGGGGAAGTCACATGCTTGAAATGTGTGCTGGGTTCCGCAGGTACCTGAAACAGTACCATTTATTCCAGGTCCTATTGGGCAGCATGCAAAGGATATACAGGCATATCTTAAAAGGCAAGGGCTTTTTAAAATTGCAGAGGGCATTCTCTCACACACACACACATGCGCAAGAGGGAATGATTTTTCCCAGAGAGATTGTTCCATGACTGGGTTTAATCCCCTTCTGTCAAACTCCCTTGACCGTCATTGCCACATCTTAACAGGATGGGAACTGGCATGTGCCCCACCCCCACCCCTGTGTGGCTCAGTGGCAGAGTGCCTGGTTTGCACACGGAAGGTCCCGGGTTCGATCCCCTCCCACCTGAAATCCTAAAGAGGTGCTGCCAGTCAGTGTAGACAACACTAGTCTGAATGAACCAAGGGTTTGACTCAATATAAGGCAGCTTCCGATGTTTCCTCGAATTTTGAATTGGTTCACTCCAGGGATAGATACATCACCCCCTTTTTTTCCTTTTCTGAGTGTGTAAATCAGCTCTTAGCTGGCTGGCAAAGTGTATTCTCCCCCTCTCTTCCCTTAGAGATCACTTCCAAAATGGCAAACAGACAACAAGCGAGAGAGAGAGGAATGTTCTTAAATTCTGCGGAAAGCCTGCGGGAATGGTTATTTCTCCACGCTGAAGCCTGCTGGCACATCTGCCTTGCTGGAAACGTTAACAAAGAGAAGAAGCTCTCTCTGCAAGTTATTGCTCCTGGGGGATTTTTTAAAGAGGCGTTTTAGTAGCTGCTCGTAATGGCTGGATGGGACAGCAGCCAGCTCAGCTCATAGTTCTGCAGTTCTCTGCCTCTTGGAGCCTCCTGCCCCCTCCTCACATCCTTATTTTTGCTCTGTTCAGTCATCTGTGTTGGTGCCTAGAAAGATAGGGCAGTGTGGGGTAATAGTCAGAGCAGGCGTGGGGTGAAAACTTAGGTCCCCCAGATGTTGCTGAACTACAACTCCCATCAGCCTTAGCTAGAATAGCCAATGGCCAGGGAAGATGGGAGTTGTGGTTCAGCAATGTCTGGAGGGGCAAAGGTTCCTCATACTTGGTTTAGAGCAGCCTTTCTCAACCTGTGGGTCCCCGGATGTTGTTGAACTACAACTCCCATCACCCCTAGCTAGCAAGGCCAGAGCTCAGGGATGATGGGAGTTGTAGTCCAACAACGTCTGGGGACCCACAGGTTGAGAACCGCTGGTTTAGAGTGTTGGACTAGAACCCAGGAGATCAGTCTCAGATCCCCAGTCCAGCGGGGTGGTGTGGGGCCTGTCACTGACTCTGAGTCTAGTCAACCTCACAGGGTGTCGTGATGATAAGAGGGTGATTCTGAGTATAGGGCTGCCGTATGTCCGGGATTTCCCAGACATATCCAGGATTCGTCCATCGTAAATAGCGTCCAGGCGGAATTTCCGAAAATCAGAAAACCTGGGCACATGGCAGCCACCCATGTTGGAAGTGTCGATTTTTTGCTGAATTTCCTTAAAAATAGCTTAAAAACTTTGCCCCCAAAAAGCTCAACAACATTTCCAGATTTTTTACTTCTTGAAATATGGCAACCTTATCTTGAGTAGGTCTAGCATTGGCTACCACCCCTAGCAATTGACAAAGCCCGTTGGGAATTGAGTCCAGCCATTTCCCTCTGCCTTGGATCTATCTATTACTGCCGTGATGGTGAATCCGTGGACTGATAGATGTTGCTAGAAGTCATTTCCCATCAGCCTCAGCCAGCCTGGCCAGTAGTTAGGGTTGATGGAAGTTGTAGTCCAGAGGCCTGCAGGCAGAGAGGATGGGCTGTATTTTTTTTCTAATGGGTTTTGTAAATTTCCAATTTATGCATATTATTTAAGCCCCCTCCTGTTATCGTGTTTTCCGATTGCAAGCTAATATACACGTCGCTTATATGAGGGGAACAATACTTCCCAGCAGTCAAGTCGTCATCCTTTTCCAGATAATTTTCCTACCATCAATATCATATTCTTTATGCAATTTAAACCAGGGGTTGGGGGACTTGTTTGGCCCAGAGGGTCAGATCTTTATCTCCCCATGCCATGGGCCAACTTTGGCAACTGGGCGGGCCCCCACCTCTCAATCATCACCTCATGTCATGATGATGCTGGCTGACTGAGAGTTGGGCAGTCCCCGCCCCCCTGTCAAAGTTGACTGCGGTGGTTAGTGAAGCACCACATAGGAGGATTGAACTTTCCACTCACGAGCTGATAAGCAGAGGGTTCAATCCTGCTGGCTCAAGGGGTCTGCTTCATTGGCACATTCAGCAGTATTGAACAGTATTATCATTTATTATTATTATTATTATTATTATTATTATTATTATTATTACCCCTCCCATCTGGCTGGGTTTCCCCAGCCACTCTGGGTAGCTTCCAACAGAATAATAATAATAATAATAATAATAGTGATAAAAGATCAAACATTAAAAACTTCCCTAAACTGGGCTGCCTTCTGATGTCTTCTAAAAGTCAGATAGTTGTTTATTTCCTTGACATCTGATGGGAGGGACTTCCACAGGGCTGGCATCATTACTGAGAAGGCCCTCTGCCTGGTTCCCTGTAATCTCACTTCTCACAGGGAGCGAACCGCCAGAAGGCTCTCAGAGCTGGACCTCAGTGTCCGGGCAGAACGATGGGGGTGCAGACGCTCCTTCAGGTATACTGGGCCGAGGCTGTTTATGGCTTTAAAGGTCAGCACCAGCACTTTAAACTGTGCTTGGAAACGTGCTGGGAGCCAATGTAGGTATTTCAGGACCAGTGTTATATGGTCTCAGCGGCCACTCCCAGTCACCAGTTTAGCTGCCGTATTCTGGATTAGTTGTAGTTTCCGGGTCACCTGCAAAGGTAGCCCCACATGGAGCGCATTGCAGTAGTCCAAGTGGGAAATAACCAGAGCATGTACCACTCTGGCGAGACAGTCCACGGGCAGGTAGGGTCTCAGCCTGCATACCAGATGGAGCTGGTAGACAGCTGCCCTGGACACAGAATTGACCTGCACCTCCATGGACAGCTGTGAGTCCAAGATGACTCCCAGGCTGTGCACCTGGTCCTTCAGGGACACAGTTACCCCCTTCAGGACCAGGGAGTCCTCCACACCTGCCCACCCCAGCAGTATTGAACTCCACCATGGGGATGCACAGGCAGGTGTGGTTTGGGAAAACTGGTCTCCAGGCTGGAGGTTTCCCACCCGCTAGCCCAAAAAGCCACTGTCAGCGAACTATTACCCTCCTCTTCTGCATTGGATTAGGGTTCTGTTGCTGGAAAGATCATCTTGGATAAACTGGCTAGCCAAACAGACAATGTCATCGCTGTGCCTTTTCAAGATCTAGCCTAGAAGTGCTCCAAAACTTTTCAGCTTACACCCACCCCAGTTAAAAGCAAAAATATATTTTGGAGCTTCAGCCTTCCATGGAGAATATTTGGTAACAACAACCTCCTGCTGCATTTCACCACCTGCGATTACAGTGGGAAATTTCAGGTGTAGCTGTGGATCCTGCCCACTATGTTTTAATCTAGTGGAAGGGAGCAATGGGCTCAGACCTCGGCTTCTCCTAGTGTTCCTCTCTATCCTTGTGGCTTCCTTCAGTCCAGGAGTCTTAACTCTAAACTAGCAAGAGTGTTTGTTGCATCAAATATTATAGAGGCCAAAATTTCTCACTAGAGTTAATTCCTCAGAATTTCCTCCCCCCCCCGACTTTTCAAAAATTAAACACCCTTTGCACATTTCACTGACCCCCACCCAAATCTCTGTGACTCTTTTTTTAAGCTGTACATAGAAGAGAATACTCTGAGAGGAAACCCTGGGAGTGATTTCAGCTTAGCTTTAGAGTCTAACTATCTTTACATTGAAGGAGAGTTTGTGAGATCCAGAGAGGAGAGTGAAAGGCAGGCGGTTATATCATGCGGACGGTTCGTTGGGCGTAAGAAATCTTTAGTGTGAGCTGGGATAAATTCTCAGAGGACTTGTTCATATCCTGTCACGTTGTGCCTGGCGAGACTCTGTGGTATGCGGCTCAAAATACATCCTTCCTTGCAAGGCAGGTCCGTTCTGAGGCACCTCTGAGGGGGCAGAAACAAATATATACCTCTCTCCTATTTGGGGCGCAGATAGGTGGACAGACAGAAAAAGGACAGTGGTGATTCCCCACCCTCAAATCCTAGAGGGTGACATTACAGAAAGTGCCCTCAGGCACACGTGAAATTGGTGGGATATGCATGTGTGGTGGATTGCAAAAAAGCCACAGAATTTGGCTGCGATAAAGGCAACTTCCTGAGAATCTCAGCTTCCGCATTATAAACGGCGCAGGTTCCTAGTCCTTAGCGTACTGCTGCTTCCGCTTTGTGCCTGCCCTTCGTACCTGTTCCCTTCAATCATGTATATATGCCTTCCTTGATCCAGTTTTGCAACCCAAAATATGCATCTCCCTTGTTGCCACTTTGAACTCCAGAATACGGGTGCAAGTGCAGGGTATAGCTGTCAGTTGGATCACCATAGAAATGCGTCCGCCTCTCCCCCATGTAACTTAGTCCAAAACAGAGCTCTGTGTCTTACCGCCCAAATCCATCGAGGCTTCATCAGAGAACGAGATCCTTGGGCTTCGCATTTCCCCACCCCCCTCACCAGAAAGCCCGCTGCTTAGTAGGGTTCCAAGTGCCTTTAAAAGTGCATTAAAAGTCATTGTTAAACATCCATGAAGGTTGAAAGGGATGCCTGGAGGTCCTTTTCACTCAGCAGCGAGAAATCAACTGGAGCCTTGTACTTGTTCTTTCTTGATCAAAGAAAGAAAGAAAAAAGGAGAGGGAGAGAGAAGGAACTCATCTGTCACATCAAATGCAGATTTTAAACTATTTTTGTTCATATTTTGCCCCCCCCCCTTCCTCTAGCAAGCTAGGTTTGGCTTGTTTGCCTCCATCATGCTGAGTGTTCTTGTATTTCCTGGGCTTCTGGCTGTGATTTTTGTGGGGGGGGGGCAGGGTGCAGGTGGGGGGCAGGGAGACACACAATGTGCTTGCCTTGAGACATTTATGACCTGAAAGAATGCCATTTTGGTTGGATGTGTCGTGAGCAACGCTTATTCCTCCCCACCCTCCCCTCTTTAAATGAATAAATAAAGTAGTATATTGTTTCGCTCTTTCTTTGAATGGCAGGAAGATCAGGGCAGCCTTTGAATATGGGGACCCTCCAGAATGACCCTGTACCCCAGTGTGTTGGCTGCAATGTGTCATAGCCGCAACAATAGTGCATCAATGGTTGATTTATACCAGGCCGTCCGCACGTCATTCTGCTCTGTTAGTTGTTCTGCTGTGCTTTCCCAGTGTTACCACATGAGGGGCAACTTTAGAGCTATAATGCAACAAAATCGGGATGGAAAAATAAAACAAGGAACATTTACAACGTTTACAGACTAGAAGCAAAGGGAAGGTTATCCACGATCTCAGGAACCGCCACACAAAAATACGGTTACGATATCCCAGTGAGTTGTCAAATGCCTAGTGAACAAACAACTACAGTGGTACCTCTGGTTACGTACTTAATTCGTTCCGGAGGTCCGTTCTTAACCTGAAACTGTTCTTAACCTGAAGCACCACTTTAGCTAATGGGGTCTCCTGCTGCTGTCGTGCCACTGCTGCGTAATTTCTGTTCTCATCCTGAAGCAAAGTTCTTAACCCGAGGTACTATTTCTGGGTTAGGGGAGTCTGTAACCTGAAGCGTATGTAACCCAAGGTACCACTGTATTTAAAATATATAGTAGATAAAGCGGAGGAAATGGCAGTATAAATAACACAGAGACACCAAGCAGGCTTGTTCCATATGCATCCTTTATGCTGACAACCTGAGCTTTGGCACAGAACCCAGGTTTATTTATTTGTTTTTAAATCCTCGTCTGAAAATCACTTGGGTAGAGGGCGGGTGTTGCGAAGTTTTGCTGCTTCATATTTGTTTTTCTTTCCTTCTCCTCCTCCTCAGTTGTTTACGAACACAGATCACGGCTAGAACGATCCTTGCAGAAAGAACGAGGGGAACACAAGAAAACAAAAGAAGGTAAGGTTGTGGGGTTTTTGCCTGAAGTAAATTTGAAGAGGCGTTTGCTCAAAACAGCAGAATACGCTGCTTGGGAAAGGGCCTTTTCAGTGGCTGCTCCCAAACGTTGGAACTCCTCCCTCAGGAAGCTAGATTGGCTCCCTCCTTGTCTTTCCGCCGGCAGGTGAAGAGTCTTCTTGTTCCAACAGGCTTTGGGGAACTGCCTGCTTTTAATGAAAGGCTTGGCACTGTTTTTATTGTAATTATCAGTATGGTTCTAATAGATGTGTGTGTTTGTGTGTTTTAATTCAATCAGTGGTTAATTGTTTTTTAAGTGAAAATCTGAAAAAAATTGTTGAGGTTTTTTTTTTGGGAAGAAAATTACATTTCCCGGACGTATGGCAGCCCTAGCAAAATGGATGCTGTAGCACTAAGCTATGAGCCTTGTCAGGAACATGGATGTTCCCCATGCTGAGTCTGACCATTGTCCCATGCTAAGGTTTCCTCTTGTCCTGTATAATACAGGATTGTCCCGTGTTTCAGTGTAAAATGCTATGTCCTGTATTGATTCAGTACAGGACACAGTTTGTCCTGTATTTCCGTTTTGCTGATTCTCTCTCTCTGTCTCTCTCCCATACCTTCCAACACTTTGAAGTCAAAATCCAGAAAGCCATCTTGCCGTTTTTGCCGTGAGAGCAAGGTGGCCATTTTGGTTGTCATGAGCATCTTGCTTCCTCAGTCCAAAAAAGCACTTTTTCACACACAGCACCCCCAAATGCATGTTTGGGGGCACTGCACGAAATTGCAGCCCTGAAAATTTTGGGGGAGGGGGAATTTCACCTCGAAATCGTGCGAGATCGTGGCAAACAAAATGGCCACCGTGCTCTCACAATAAAAAACAGGGTGTTCTGGTTTGGGACACTTAATGGAGTATGCAATATCCCCACCATGTCCTGTATTTTGCCAGATCAAAGTTGGCAACCCATCTAGCTCAGTATTGTCCGCACAGACAGGCAGGAGGGATCGAACCTGGAACCTCCTGTGTGCCGTTCAAAGGCTGCATCACTGAGCTACCATCATTTCCTCTGTTGCAGCCTTCATTCCCAGACCTCTGGGGTTTTGTCCTGGTGCCCCAGCACTCAGCCGCATTGCCCTGCTAGAAAAGAAATAAGCATTTATTAAAAGGCTGACTCGACTCTTGTGTCTCAGAGCTTTTGCAAAAGATCAATATAGCAGTTGTTCTTCTTGGGAGCGTTTCTGAGAGGGCTGCAAGTGATCTCTAATTATCTTGGATAAAGATGTGGCCTTCTGTGCTGTGTGCGCTGGGTGGCTAATCGCCACTTGATGATTGGAGGAGAAGTTGCGAAGGATTTTTGGTTGTAATTGAGGGGTTTTAGACAGCAGGGATGGGGAATCTTGTACTAGAACTCCCAGCATCCCAGGCTATCAGTCATGCTGGATTATACAGCATTGTATAGTCTTCTTCTTCTTCTTAGACTAGAATTCCGCTAGGCTGCCTAATATATATGTGTGTTTGCTGTGTGTGTGTGAGTACAAACAATTGTTGTTATTGTCAGCAACACAGAGTGTTTCCACTGGTGCTCCTTTCAGACACGGGTTCCACTTTGAATTCTTTTCTCAAATACGATGGAGGATAGGCTTCTGCGTTTTTAAACTTTGGATTTCTAGTTAGTTGCTTTTGCAGGGACTTCTTAAAAAAAAAAAAATTAATAGTGGGCACATTCCTTCCTATTAGGTTCACAGGCTTTTAAACAGCTTCCTCCTTCAAATGTAAACCAGATTCTAGTAAATTCCGTCTCACTAATTTCCCTGATTGTTCTCTCTCTTAAATCCCTCAGATTTTTTAGTCTACAAGTTGGAAGCTCAAGAAGCCCTCAACAAAGAAAAGGTGGGTGAAATTAGATTCCTCTGTGGGTGTGAGAGGGAGGTGGGGTGGGGAGGGGTAGAAGGGGATGAGAGGGAGGGAAAGGGAGGGGGAGAGGTAAAAGGGGGGAGGGAGAGGGAAGGGAGAGACAGGGTGGAGACAGAAGGGATGAGAGAGGGTTGGGGGAATAAGAGAGGGAGGGGTGAAAGGGAGGGGGAAGGGGGCACACACATAAAAAGGAAAAAAGGAATAATATCCTTTATCAATATGATTGATCCTTTAAAAATAATATTTACTATCCTTTATTAATAATATTCACTGTACATGGTTTTTTGTTGCCCTGGAATATATATATATATATATATATATATATATATATATATATATATGTAAAGGGATCCCTGACCGTTAGGTCCAGTCGCAGATGACTCTGGGGTTGCGGCGCTCATCTCGCTTTACTGGTCGAGGGAGCTGGTGTACAGCTTCTGGGTCATGTGGCCAGCATGACTAAGCCGCTTCTGGAAAACCAGAGCAGTGCACGGAAACGCCGTTTACCTTCCCGCTGGAGCGGTACCTATTTATCTACTTGCACTTCATGCTTTCGAACTGCTAGGTTGGCAGGAGCAGGGACCAAGCAACGGAAGTTCACCCCGTCGCGGAGATTTGAACTGCCTACCTTCTGATCGGCAAGCCCTAGGCTTTGTGGTTTAACCCACAGCACCACTCACGTCCCTTGCACACACACACACACACACACACACACACACATTTTCTGATTTACATTTCAAAATATTCATTTAAACAACCTTAAATCAATGACTTCCCTTCTTCTCTTTCTGTGGTTCATTTTGCATGCCACACATCCCTGCATATTTTAAAAGCCATTCAGTAAACCATTGTTTACGTCCATCAGAACTTATTTACACTGTTGAATTTATCTGAATGCTACCAGCATTTTTAAATGAACACAATTTTCACCCATATATTCAGTAAACCTTCAAATCTAATAATGTAGGACAAAATTTAAATTCTCCACATCGTAACTTCCACTCCCAATCGTTCCTTGCAGCAATATGCCCAGTGTAATTTTTACAGAAAGAAAATTGTGCCAGAACGTGCCCTGAACACCTCCCTCGTTCTCTTAGAATGGCCATGGTTCCCACCTGAGAGGTGCCGGCAAGTTCCGGCTGGGGAAAAAAAAAGCCCAGGGTATGCCACTGCAGCTGGCCTTGCTTCCTCACAGCTCCCTTGTCATCAAAGACCTAGACGAAGTGATGTGTTTTTAATTGGCACCTCAGACTAGACAGAATAGGAGCCGGTCACTCTTTGAGGAGGGGAGAGAGAGTGTTCTGCAGCTGGTGTGCCACCACCAAGAAGACCGCCACCGCTGTGCTGGGTAATAAAATTGGTTGTTTTTTGACACGGGTGGTGCTGTGGGTTAAACCACAGAGCCTAGGAATTGCTGATCAGAAGGTCAGTGGTTCGAATCCCAGCGACGGGGTGAGCTCCCGTTGCTTGGTCCCTGCTCCTGCCAACCTAGTAGTTCAAAAGCACGTCAAAGTGCAAGTAAATAAATAGGTACCGCTCAGGCGGGAAGGTAAACAGTGTTTCTGTGTGCTGCTCTGGTTCGCCAGAAGCGGCTTAGTCATGCTGGCCACATGACCCAGAAGCTGTACGCCGGCTCCCTTGGCCAATAAAGCGAGATGAGCGCCGCAACCCCAGAGTCGGCCACGACTGGACCTAATGGTCAGGGGTCCGTTTACCTTTACCTTTCTTATGTTTTACTGTAATTTTTACTGTTGTTAGCCGCCCTGAGCCCAGCTCTGGCCAGGGAGGGTGGGGTATAAATAAAATTTATTATTATTATTATTATTATTAACCGCTTTTGGTCATTTTGGTTACTGACAGTTGCGCTTGTCACTTTTTCCTTGCAGCAAGATTCCATGAACAGATATGGAGCCCTGAGCTCACAGCATAAGATCCTGAAGGTAAAGGGACCCTGCTTCTTTTTGGCACAGGAATCTCAGCCATTTCTAGGGGTGGGGGAACCTGCCGCCCTCCAGACGACAACTCCATCATCTCTAAGCATTGCATTCCCACGCTCCTCTCTAACACTACTACTACTAATAATAGTGGAGTATGGTGGAAGCATCACAGAATGATGTGGAATGTTGTCTGGATGGTCTGGTATTAATCCACCGTTATTGTGTAAATGGCATGTGGCAGAATTTATCCACTCAAAAAGAACAAGCCACTCTAGAGCGGTCCCTACGTACTCTGGGGAGGGTGTCCAGAATGACTGCTTGGGAAACTGGCCCTAGCATTTGTACACAAAGGTCTCACTATCCAAACACAACATGCTCTCAGGAAGTTGCTTGTTAGGCTCGCGTCTGCATAATGAGTTGCCAATTTACATTGATTCCTATGAGGAATATTTTAATGCGTTTCCAGCCACAGAATTTTGACCCCAAAAGACCACACAAAAACCTTGAAACCTTGCAAAAGGCAAACAAGGAAGGGGGGGAAAATGCTCTCTTATTTGTCCAGTCTCTCCTGCTTCCTCCCTTCTAAGTCTATGATTATATAATTCAGTGCCTATTTATGTGTTTGTTTAGGCAAGGCTATCCAGTCCTGTAGAAGTTACATATATGTATTTATTTTAGCTGCTGTTGATTTTAATCATCGTTTGGATGTTTGAAAATGCCTTTATTGTTTTACTTTTTAAATCAAACATTTTAATGTTTCATGTGATTTTTTTATAAACAACTTAGAGCTTTTCTTACAATGTGCACACACACAAAAAATATGGTTTAAATAATCTTCAGTGGGTCTATTTTGAGTAGTATTGGATGCAAGCTTTATTTTCTGTGGGATAAACCAGGTCCCCATTGTGGCTATTGGTACACATTTAGCAGGATTTATGATTGTTTAGCAGGATTTATGATTGTTGTTAAATTTAATTAATTTATAATTTTATTGTTTTATCTTTTTTGTAAACCACTTTTTTTTAAAAAAACCCACTGTATAAGTTTATATATAAGTTTATATATAAGTTATATTTATATAAATAAATAATAGAAACAAAAATCAATGAAATCCTCTAAGTGGTTTGCGCAAAAGCATATAAAAGACTCATTTAAAAATACCGATAAAATAAAAACTTTAAAAACAAACATAAAAAATCTGTTTGAAAGGCCAAAAGCTCAGTGAAATTCAAATCATGAACATTTCCCAATGTGTTTTTTTATAAACTCACACACAAGGTTTAAAAAGCCCGAGAGAGGGGAAGGTGGGAAAAAGTCTGTCTTTGTTAGTTTCCTTCTGGGTCACTTAACCCAGATTTGTTATGCTTTCACTGTTAATAGATTCTGAGTACACACTCTTTAATTTGGACTTTTACAACGCCTTAATTGGCTACAGGGATTCTAGTTCCTTTTTTTTTTTTTAAGTAACCAATGTAAGACTGAAGATGGTGGTGGTGATTTTTTACCTGCCCTTCATCGCAAAGTCCCAGGGAGGATTGCAACAATATAAAAATGCAATGTTAAGATGTATTAAAAGAAAAGAGTATTATTATTATTATTATTATTATTATTATTATTATTATTGCGTTTGCTTTATTAGTTGCCTTCCAAACCACTGCCTCAAGGCGACTTACCTGTAACAAAACTAAAAACACTAAAACAGCAAATATGTTTAAAGCAAGACTGACAAGTGGAAAATTGTGGTGAAGACCCCATTATTCAGCTGGGGAATACTTCGATTGTTTCCGGAATAGCTCAGCCTTTCTTTCTATGACTGAACTGAGAACCCCCATGTGAGTTTATAGCCCTGTCTTTCTCTGCCCTTTCCCAAGCTAGGGACCTCTAAAAAACACCGGGGAAAACCCTTTCGCACGGTGCCACTGACCCAGAATTCACCTCCTTCGGTGTTCCCATAGTAACTTGCAGCGATCGTGCTCTGCTTGGCTTGGCAGCACCAATTATATATGTAGATCGATGGGTGCTCAGGTGAACCCCTGGCCCCTTATAGACAATGGCTAATTCTTCACAGCCACCCCAGTTTTTGAGGCTAGCTGGGCAGGGTTGGGAGAGGGAATTATTGGGAGAAGAGAAGGGAAGAAATGGTGGCAGCGGGAACGAACCTCTGTCTTCCAAGGCTTCCATATCATTGAGTCTTGCCTAATGGTCCCAGTAGTTTGAATGACGGTACAGTATGTCTTTCTGACCTGGGAATAAGCCTTGTTAAACTCCATGGCGTCTGGGGAGAAAACCAGCATAGGAGCGTACTATAAAAGTTTACCCTCCTTGGTACAATAATAATAATAATAATTTATTATTTGTACCCCGCCCATCTGGCTGGGTTTCCCCAGCCACTCTGGGCGGCTTCCATAGAAACAAAAAATACAGTAAAATATCACAGATTAAAAGCTTCCCTGAACAGGGCTGCCTTAAGATGCCTTCTAAATGTCAGGTAGTTATTTATTGCTTTGACATCTGATGGGAGGGCGTTCCACAGGGCGGGCGCCACTACCGAGAAGGCCCTCTGCCTGGTTCCCTGTAGCTTTGCTTCTCGCAATGAGGGAACCGCCAGAAGGCCCTCGGCGCTGGACCTCAGCGTCCGGGCAGAACGATGGGGGTGGAGACGCTCCTTCAGGTATACTGGGCCGAGGCCGTTTAGGGCTTTAAAGGTCAACACCAACACTTTGAATTGTGCTCGGAAACGTACTGGGAGCCAATGTAGGTCTTTCAAGACCGGTGTTATGTGGTCTCGGCGGCCGCCTCCAGTCACCAGTCTAGCTGCCGCATTCTGGATTAATTGTAGTTTCCGGGTCACCTTCAAAGGTAGCCCCACGTAGAGCGCATTGCAGTAGTCCAAGCGGGAGATAACCAGAGCATGCACCACTCTGGCGAGACAGTCCGCGGGCAGGTAGGGTCTCAGCCTGCGTACCAGGTGGAGTTGGTAGACAGCTGCCCTGGATACAGAATTGACCTGCGCCTCCATGGACAGCTGTGAGTCCAAAATGACTCCCAGGCTGCGCACCTGGTCCTTCAGGGGCACAGTTACCCTATTCAGGACCAGGGAGTCCTCCACACCAGCCCGCCCCTGTCCCCCAAAAACAATACTTCTGTCTTGTCAGGATTCAACTTCAATCCATTAGCCGCCATCCATCCTCCAACCGCCTCCAGGCACTCACACAGGACCTTCACCGCCTTCACTGGTTCTGATTTGAAAGAGAGGTAGAGCTGGGTATCATCTGCATATTGATGGACACCCAGTCCAAATCCCCTGATGATCTCTCCCAGCGGCTTCATATAGATGTTTAAAAGCATGGGGGAGAGGACGGAACCCTGAGGCACCCCACAAGTGAGGGCCCAGGGGTCTGAACACTCATCCCCCACCACCACTTTCTGAACACGGCCCAGGAGGAAGGAGCGAAACCACTGTATAACAGTGCCCCCAGCTCCCAGCCCCTCTAGACGGTCCAGAAGGATGTTATGGTCGATTGTATCAAAGGCCTCTGAGAGATCCAGCAGAACCAGGAAACAACTCTCACCTTTGTCCCTAGCTCGCTGGAGATCATCAACCAGTGCGACCAAGGCAGTTTCAGTCCCATGGTGAGGCCTGAATCCCGATTGGAAGGGATCCAAATGGTCCGCATCCTCCAGGCGTACAAATGAAGCTCCCACTGCAGTTAATCAACTTGAATCTTATCAATCAGTCAACTTAGAAGCTGCTGTTGCTGAGAAGGCTATCAGCCGGATAAAAATCAAACAACTGATTGGTGAAGTGATTGAATCTGAATAAATCACTTTGGCCAAATTGACGTACAAACTGCATGATAAGGACAATTGTGACTTCAAGGAAGAATGGGAACTTTTTACAAATTACTTAAAAAGACAACAAAATGATCTGGACTCCTTGGCAGGTTTTGAATAAACATCCACAAACTTATTAGTTGAACACATGATAGATAAGGCAAGGATACGTACAATTTTATAACATGCAGAGAACAATATGTGCAAAGAAACCAGAGAGGGGAGCTGAGGGAAGTCCGGGGGGGGGGGGGAGGGATGAGGGGGAGGGGGGAAATAATGTAATTGATTATTTAGACTGATAATTTGTTATGCTGAAATTGTTTTAATTTTTTTTTTTTTAAGAATCTGAACAAATCACGATACAGCTTTAAGCCCTAATGTGATTAGAGAGCCTTTGGAGGTAAAATTAGAAACATACAAGTGGGAGCTGCCACAGAATGTTGCAGCACGGAGTATTCCAGTTCAGGACACTCCATTCCATTCTGGCCTTTCCTGCTTTCCTCTTTTTTTTCTTGCCACCTGCCTGTCAACCTTCTGTGGCCACTGACCCTGCTTACTCCTTACCAGACATGAGTCCCCACAGTCTTACTGTATTCCTACAAACCTTGGGGTTTCTTCCAAACCTAAGGATTACAGTGGTACCTCAGGCTACATAAGCTTCAGGTTACATACGCTTCAGGTTACAGACTCCGCTAACCCAGAAATAGTGCTTCAGGTTAAGAACTTTGCTTCAGGATGAGAACAGAAATCGTGCTCCGGCGGCGCGACAGCAGCGGGAGGCCCCATTAGCTAAAGTGGTGCTTCAGGTTAAGAACAGACCCTCCGGAACGAATTAAGTACTTAACCCGAGGTACCACTGTACTACCTTTTATATATATATATGGCATGGATCGTACCATTTTGACTGTATGAATGCTTTGAGAGTTTTGTTTACAATCAAGTGGCGCGTACATTTTATGAAACAAACAAACCATTGGCACTCATTTCTAGACACTGTAGGTACTGATTCCTTGTTATTGATTTGGAAAGGTTCTGAATGAGGGAAGACATGAGTGCGTCACACAGGTGTCTCTCCCCCTGCCGCTCCTGCCCTGTCTCAGTTCTAATTTTTATTTTTCCTTGGATTAGAATCAGCACGAAGATGTCAAGAAGCAGCTTCTCGACCTGCAGATGCAACACAATGGGCTGAAACTGGAACACCGCAAGATAACAGAGACTCACAACCAGAAGTACTCCCAGCTGCAGAGGGAGAAGGAAAGCGAGGTGGGAGGTTTGCAAGGTGAGTGCAGGATCTTGCATTTGCAGAGAGGATGGGAGAAGTCAGCAGCAGAGATTTGGGTCTCCTCCTTCGACTCCAGAGATAGGGTCATCCACCCCACTCGCCCCATCACCCCTTTCCCATCATCAAGGGCCGTCTTCAGAGCCACACAATAGCCCTTCTGTTAGTGTGGTAGCATGCGGGTGGCGTGCGTTAAACCACAGAGCCTAGGACTTGCTGATCAGAAGGTCAGCTGTTCGAATCCCCGTGACGGGGTGAGCTCCCGTTGCTCGGTCCCTGCTCCTGCCAACCTAGCAGTTCGAAAGCACGTCAAAGTGCAAGTAGATAAATAGGTACCACTCCAGCGGGAAGGTAAACGGCGTTTCCGTGCACTGCTCTGGTTCGCCAGAAGCTGCTTAGTCATACTGGCCACATGACCTGGAAGTTGTACGCCGGCTCCCTCAGCCAATAAAGCGAGATGAGCGCCGCAACCCCAGAGTTGGCCACTACTGGACCTAATGGTCAGGGGTCCCTTTACCTTTACTTACACTTTGGAACTCCCTGCCTATTGACACCTGGCAGGTTCCTTCATTGTATTCTGCATTGGGCAGGACTGGATGACCTCTTGCAACTTCAGTTTCTAAGGCAGCTACAGCCATTCTCGGATCAGGAAAGCTTGACCACAGTTGTACATGCCTCGGTGATCTCACATGCAGGAGTACTGCAATGCACTCTGCGTAGGGCTGTCCCTGATCTGCTTACAGCTGGTGCAGAAGATGACGGCTATAGGTCGCTTGTGGGAATTGCATATAATGCCTTGCTTACAGGACTCGCACTGGCTGCCCATTTGCTGCTGGGCCAAATTCAAGGCGTTAGTACTAACATGTGAGTTCCTATGTAGCTCAGGACCACCTTGCTTGAGAGACCACCTTATCGTTCATACACACAGTAGCTGCGAGAGCTTCTCCAGCAAGGCCTCCAAAGCCCACTCTGAAGTAACCTGGAGCAGGGCTTTTAGCTGACCTTGTTCTGCAGAATAGCATCCCTGTCAAAATACAACAGGTGTCCACCCTTCACTTTCACAGAACAGTTGAACTTGTTTTTGCTCCAGCAGGCTCTCCTGGCTGAATAAACGAGTCTTTGCCACAAGTGTCCATCTGTTGAGATTTTTCTTTTAAATGTACCTGTTGCTTTCGTGTTTTTAGCTATTTTATGCATAAATTGCCTTGAGAAAGTGATTGATAAATCAACTGCCATAACTGCAACTCTGCAGTTAGCTTGGAAACCTAATTACAGTGGTACCTCAGGTTAAGAACTTAATTCATTCTGGAGGTCCGTTCTTAACCTGAAACTGTTCTTAACCTGAAGCACCACTTTAGCTAATGGGGCCTCCCACTGTCGTTGCGCCGCTGTGGCGCGATTTCTGTTCTTATCCTGAAGCAAAGTTCTTAACCTGAGGTACTGTTTCTGGGTTAGCAGAGTCTGTAACCTGAAGTGTTTGTAACCTAAAGCGTCTGTAACCCGAGGTACCACTGTATTGTTATTTAACTGGAGCAACGTGTGATTATTGTCATTTATCTTTCTCCCCCTCTGCAGATACAGTTTACAAGCTCAGGGAGGAGAGCAAGTTGCTTCGCAAAGCCCACCAGGATGTTCACTCACAGCTTCTCAGTGCTCAGGTAGGCTCTGGGGATGGGCAGCGCAGTGTAGTGGTTGGAGCACTGGACCAGGATGTGAGCAGGCAGGGTTCAAATCCCCACTTGGCCATGGAGCTCAGTGAGTAACCTTGAGCTGTCTCTCACTCTAACCTACCTCACTGGGCCGTTGTGAGTATAAAATGGGCAGGGAGAAAGCAATGCACACCATCTTGCTCCCCTTGGAGGAAAAGAAGAGGAGGAGTTTGGATTTGGTATCCCACTTTATCACTACCCAAAGGAGTCTCAAAGCAGCTAACATTCTCCTTTCCCTTCCTCCCCCACAACAAACACTCTGTGAGGTGAGTGGGGCTGAGTGACTTCAGAGAAGTGTGACTAGCCCAAGGTCACCCAGCAGCTGCATGTGGAGGAGCAGGGAATCGAACCCGGTTCACCAGATTACGAGTCCACCGCTCTTAACCACTACACCACACTGGCTGGGATATACCGTATATACTCGAGTATAAGCCGACCCGAATATAAGCCGAGGCACCTAATTTTACCACAAAAAACTGGGGAAATTTACTGACTCGAGTATAAGCCTGTTCACCACACCACAAACCTGGTGGTGGTAGCAGCAGCAGCGGAGGAAGAACAAGCAGCCCAAAAGGGCTGCTTTCGGGCTGCTCGTTCCTCTGCTGCCGCTGCCGATAGTGGCAAAGGTGGCGGAGGAGGAAGGATCAGCCCGCAAGGACCCTCACTCAAGTATAAGCCGGGGGGGGGGCTTTTTCAGCATAAAAAATGTGCTGAAAAGGTGGGCTTATACTTTAGTATATACAGTAGATGGAATATACATATTCACTCAGTGATTCATAGCACTCAGCCACAGTGGCCTCCCTGAGATTATTACTGCCTCTCTCGTTGTGAAGACGGTGCCCCATCTTTTAGATTTTTTTTGAGGGTGAAGTGTTCATACAAGTTACCGGTGACTGTAAACTGTCCACTTCGCCTTTTTTCCTGATGGCACCAGGGAAAAAAATTGGGGAGAGGGGCAGAGAAGAGGCAAAGTATATTTCTAGGTGTGCTGGAAAGAAAATAACAGCATATGTTCAGTACAGGTGTTCAGAAATGTGGGGGGCAAAGGAGGCATGACCTCTCTGTTTACCCCCCTATCCCTGCTGCTGCTCAGCATCTTGTGAAGACGATGAATTGAATTCATATTCTGCCCTTGTTGGGAGCCCATTGGGAGCTGTCCGGGGTCCTGATTCCTGCCTCAATCGACCTGCCCAGAAGAGCCTTAGCTGAAAACATCCTCACTGGAGAGAAATGGATGGTCTCTTCTGTCCAAAAGCGATTGTTCTAACTCCTTTGGGGCCCTTTCATCTTTGGTCTGCCTCCAGGTCCAGATGGAAGAGTTCAGGCAGCTCAAGGAGACCCTTCAAAAGATGCCGAGCTTTAAGGAAGTGGTTGGGGCCAAAGCGCAGCTGAAGAATGAGCAGCCCCCAGGACAAGGACTTGGCATGTTGCAGATTGTTAGGCCAAAGGTAGGATGTCTGGATGTCCCTCTCCCTCCTCTCTCACCTTCCAAACCTTAGACCCAGGGGAAAGAGCTTCACACTCGAGTAGGGTAGTGGTAATAATAATAATAATAATAATAATAATAATAATAATAATAATATTTGTACCCCTCCCATTTGGCTGGGTTTCCCCAGGCACTCTAGGCAGCTCCCAACAGAATACTAAAAACAAGATCAAACATCAAACATTGAAAACTTCCCTAAACAGGGTTGCCTTCAGATGTCTTCTAAAAGTCAGATGCAGTGGTACCTCGGGTTAAGTACTTAATTCGTTCCGGAGGTCTGTTCTTAACCTGAAACTGTTCTTAACCTGAAGCACCACTTTAGCTAATGGGGCTCCTGCTGCCGCCGTGCTGCTGGAGCACGATTTCTGTTCTTATCCTGAAGCACTATTTCTGGGTTAGCAGAGTCTGTTACCTGAAGCGTATGTAACCTGAAGCGTCTGTAACCCGAGGTACCACTGTCGTCGTTTATTTCCTTGACATCTGATGGGAGGGCATTCCACAGCCCCTCTGCCTGGTTCCCTGTAACCTCACTTCTCGCAGTCAGGGAACTGCCAGAAGGCCCTTGGATTTGGACCCCCGGGCAGAACGTTGATGGTGGCAACGCTCCTTCAGGTATACTGGGCCGAGGCCATTTAGGACGTTAAAGGTCAGCACCAACACTTTGAATTGTGCTCAGGAACATACTGGGAGCCAATGTAGGCCTTGCAGGACCGGTGTGATAGGGTCTTGGCAGCCACTCCCAGTCGCATTCTGCCGCCTTCTGGATTAATTGTAGTTTCCAGGTTACCTTCAAAGGTAGCCTCATGTAGAGCGCATTGCAGTAGCCCAATGTGGCCCTCTGCCTGGCCCTCGAGACTCTCTCCAGGCGACACCGCCTCTCCACAGGCCACACCTACCTTTGCCGGTCTGGAATTTGCTCTTGCACTCATTCTGCGTCTTGTTTGTCTGGATGGAGAGGGGTGGAAGAGTGTTTGTAGAAACAGAGCTACTGTACAGAGGTGACATTCACATTCGTTGACTTGCCTGCAGCTGGCATGTGGCCCCTGGAAGGGAGTGTGGCCCTCGGTTTCCCCGCCCCTGCTGTATACCAATATCAAACTCATTCACCAAGGGTGGATTCTTATGTAGGCAGAATGGCACCATGCAAATGCCATAGGGAGATAGTATCCGCAGGCCTAGAGGAACCCCGTTATTATCTCTGGGAATGGGGTGTCAAAAGGGAAATGTCCAGTGAAGGCAGAGCATGCTCAGTGAGCATGGAATGCTGAAAAAACCAAGGAAGGGGAACGGAATGGCATGTTCTAGATAAGGGCGCGACTCACGGACTGGCGGAAAGCACTCCATACTGCAACATTTTGTTGCAGATCCCACTTGTTCAGGATGAAGTGCAGTTTCTGAGGAACCTCTTCCTGTCTAAGCTTGTCTTTCCTGGGTTTTTTTCCCCTCGTCTAGGCCTCACTGGGCAATGAAGCAAAACCACCCCAGAGTCCCTTGGGGCAAGCTGCAGTTCCAGCAGGGAGTTCCCCTGTTGCTCCGGCCTCTAGCATCAAACAGCAGGGAGAAGCCATCTTGCCTGAAGGCAACGGCAGGCCTCAGGGCAATGTGCCGTTTGGCCAGGTGGCCCCGCCCCATGAAGCCCACCTGCCGCCTCCGGCCTGGCCTCAGGCGGGGCAAAGGGATAACCCCATAGTCCGCTTCACGAGGATGGTGAATAGTGTGCAGAATGGGATCCAGGTAAGAATACTAACATAATATGGAATAATAATAAAAAATGTTAAGATACACTTTCTTCAAAAAACCAGAGCTATTCTTACTAGGTATTTTTACAACAGACATCCCAAAGAACTATAAGAGAGTCTTTTTGTACGCAATAACGGGTGCCAGGATAGCGATTGCAAAACATTAGAATAGTAACACAATTCCAACAAAGGAGGAATGGTTAATAAAATTAAGCGAATATCTTGAACTGGCGAAATTAACAGAAATAGTAAGAAATCAACCAAGTGAAAAAATCAGGAGAGAATGGGATGTCTTTACAAATTATATGAAGAAGGTTGGTTCCCCAAATTATGACTGGCTTAGCCTAGACTAAAAATTCCACAGGTAAGCAAATTGTCTCTCCACAAAGTTTAAAATGATTACAGACAACCAAAGATATAAGGTTAAAGGAACAGTATAGTGGTAGAAAAGGGACACAGGTGGTGCTTTGGGTTAAACCACAGAGCCTAGGGCTTGCCGATCAGAAGGTCGGCGGTTTGAATCCCCGCGACTGGGTGAGCTCCCGTTGCTCGGTCCCTGCTCCTGCCAACCTAGCAGTTCGAAAGCACGTCAAAGTGCAAGTAGATAAACAGGTACCACTCCGGTGGGAAGGTAAACGGCGTTTCCGTGTGCTGCTCTGGTTCACCAAAAGCGGCTTAGTCATGCTGGCCACATGACCTGGAAGCTGTACGCCGGCTCCCTCGGCCAATAAAGTGAGATGAGCGCCGCAACCCCAGAGTCGGCCACGGTTATTGTGAGGATAAAATGGGAAGAGGGAGAATCATAAATACCATCTTAAGCCCCTTGGTTGGAAAAGATGAGCTATAAATGGAATGAATGAATGAATGAATAAATCTTTAGGTTCAGTGTACCCATTCTGCTGGGCGAGAATTGGGACTAGTCCACGTGACAGTTTATAGTGAACTTACGGCTGCTCATCCATGCATTTTTTTAATGCAGCATTCACACAATGCTGTCTTTATCAAGACACCACCCCATATTATCCCTCTTCAACTTTCAAATTTGCATTTATTGAGAACATTTGTACCCCAAAGCTGCCAGAGAGGCTTACATGTAATCCATTTGAAGCAATGCAGTCCCTTCTCGCAGATTTAACAATCTTAAAACAGCAACATCCATGAAACTCAAGGTAAAAGGGACAGGGAGGGAAGAGAAAATAAGCAAACTCAGGCACTAACTCTTAAACAGTAGTTCTTACGACAGCTGATGTACAAACAGTTGTGGCTAGGAGGTGACTTGATGGAGCTGGTTATTGTCAAAGCTGCTGGAACGAACCCTGCTTCCCATATCTCCCACTCTGGCAGTGTGATTTTCTATGGAAAATCCATTAAGGAAAAAGAAGGGGGGAAACAACCCATAGGAAATGGTAAATCTGGATTAAAATCTGAGGTGAAAAGATACGCCTTTAAAAGCAGCCTAGGAATCAGCCAGTGATGCTTGTTTTATGGTTCAGGAAAGCCCCGAGTCCAGAGTGAATTGTTATGTGGAAGTGCCCTTTCTCCCCTCAAAATACTCTTCCACTGGGTCTCTCCAGGCCTAGTCTTCGCACTCAAGCCACTCTACCACACTGTCTCTCCAGCTCTGCTTTCAGGGTATGTGTCCCCCTTTTGCTTTTTCTCTCGGTAGGATCAAAAAGCTGCTCAGAGCAGGCCGGGGGAGAGTGAGGAAAACGTTCCTTCTGAAGACATGGCAAACAGCTTCAGACTCCTTCCTGCCTCAGAGGAAGCCCAGGATTTGGAAAAGCAGCCCTCTGTGGGGAGCCAGCGGGATCGTGCCGTGCAGAGGTTTGTAGCCTTTGTGGGTTGGGGTTCACGGTCACCCCACCTGTCAGGAGTGAGCCAGCAGTAAATCACACAGTGCAAGTTGGAGTTAACTCTTTATCAGCAAAAACATGATCGACACAGGAGTGTCAGGCCTAATGAGCACAGCAGCTCATCCCTGGGAGGTCTTACTCCATGAATCAGTTGCTGAGACTGAAAGTCCCCACCTCCCCACAGCTGCCTAAGTCACAGGGTTTCCACCCAAGCAATCAGAGACTGCGCCTATGTGTCGCCAATCTCTCCTCCACCCATTTCATGCCTCTTCTAGTTCTGGGAGATCAGAGGGGAGGGGAGCTTGGTGCAGTAAGAGCGGGAGACACTTGTGTCTCTTCCCCAGCCTGACTCATCTCTGCCTCTTGGCCTCTCTCCTCTCGCCCTCCTGCTTCAGCTTCTGACTCTGATTTTGAACTTCCCTCTGCCACAGACTCTCCCAGCTCCCAAAGCCCTGTTACCTCCTCAGTTTCTGACACCACCTTCCCACAGTCGTCTCCCTCTGACCACCGCTCCTAGAGTTAATAAATAATAATAATAATAATAAAATTTTATTTATATCCCGCCCTCCCCAGCCGAAGCCGGGCTCAGAGCAGCTAACAACAATAGAAGTAACACAGCATTCTAAAATCAATTCAAAATCAAATTCATGGCGACCATTGGGCTAGAGTTCTGTGAGGATTACCAAAGGAGGGGGGTCAGACTGTGCCTTGGCCAAAGGCCTGGTGGAACAGCTCTGTCTTACAGGCCCTGCGGAAAGATGGCAAGTCCCGCAGGGCCCTAGTCTCTTGTGACAGAGCGTTCCACCAGATTGGGGCCACAACCAACAAAGCCCTGGCTCTGGTTGAGGCCAGCCTAACCTCCCTGTGGCCTGGGGGGACCTCCAGGATGTTTTTGTTTGAAGACCGTAAGTTCCTCCGTGGGACATACCAGGAGAGGCAGTCCCTTAGGTACAAGGGTCCTAGGCCATATAGTTCAGAGCCTTCTTCCATTGGTGGTTCCCCAGCTGGTTCCTCCCACCATTCCTCTGCATCCAACCATCCATGACTTAAGAAGTCTTACTGGATCAGGTCGATAAGCCATCTAGTGCAGTATCCTGTTCTCACGGTGGCCTACTAGGTGCCTACGGGAAGCCCTTGAGCAGGAATTGAGTGCGACTGCGAATGTCCCCACCTGCAGTTTCCAGCAGCTGGTATTAAAAAACTTTCTGCCTCTGTCCTTGAAGGCAGAGCAGAGCAGAGCCATCATGGCTAGAAACCACTGCTGGCTTTATCCTTTGCGAATTTGCATTATTTTCTTTTAAAGTCATTCAGGTTGGTGGCCTTCCATTGGAATGAATCCCAGAACTCAACTTGCACACTGTGTGAAAAGTCCTTTGTCTATCTTGAATCTTCCAGCCTTCTGTTTAATTGGCTGTTCACCTGTTCCAGTGTTAATAAGAGACCGAGAAAAACATTTCCCCTGTCATTTCATCTGCTTCCATCACATCACATCGCCTTTTCTCTGATCTTAAAAACCCCAAATATTGTAACCTGTCCTCATAGGGAGTTGCTCCACCCATGTCAGCATTTTGGTTGCCCGTTTTCTGACTCTGCGATATCCTTTTTGAGTTGAGGCAACCAGAACTTTTTTGAGAATGCTGCGTGGGTGTTTCTGGTTAGGTATAAAAGGTTGACAATCTGTACAGGGCGTTGCAAGCTTCTGGTCTTTTGGTAGCAGAGCCTGCTCAGCACTTCTCATTAAGGAAGCCTTAAGCTGTTTATTTCGAAGGCTGCTTCCTTGTGCTTGCCTCTAATTATTCGGTAATCCATCAGACTCTGTGGGAGAAGTCCGAGCTAAGTAGGTGTTGTTTTTCTTCAAGGTTATATGGAAATATGAAAACAGCAGGTGATAAGTGGAAGCTGAGGAGGATAAGAATATATTTGGCTCTCTTTCTCTTCCCAAAGTGCAGGCAAAGGCTGGAAAAGAACCATAGGGACGTCAATTTTCTCCACAACGGCCATCACTTTCACAGAGCACTGCTCAGGCTTCCTCAACCTGGTGCCCTCTGGATGTTGTTGTTGGACTAGAAATCCCCATTAATCCCTGACCGATTGTAAGGTTTTGAAAAACAACAACTGGAGGGCACCAGACTGGCAAAATTCTCAGTGTGGTTTTGTAGCCTTTTTAGCCTCGGGTGAGAAGAGCTTTGCTCCCGGGACGGGGAAATGGGAGTCAACAGACACTCAAGCAATAGTTTCAGAGAAAAGGCTTTATTTCTACCATCTGGCTGGTAGAAGGAGCAAGTGTGATAGATTCACAAAACAAGCACGAGTTCACAGCCATTTGCACAGAGCATATATTCCCCTCCAGTTCCGTCCCCTTTCTCCTCCTCCTCAAGAGTCCTGCCTCATGAGTTCCCCTGAGCATGAACAGAAAGCTCCTGTCTTGGGACTCTTTTGGACTCTTGGCGCCCAGGAAAGGGGGTGAGAAGCCAAGGGGGGTCGAGGAGCCTTGCGGTTCAGCGTGTTCAAGATGTGTTGCAACCAAATGAGATAAGAGTCAGTTCCCAGGCCTGAGTATTCTTGGCATTGACAGAGTCTATTCATTAGCCTTTTTGAAGCTCTCTCGTACTGATAAAAGTAACGGTTTGCCTATGCAACAGCATCTTGTGAGAAAAGCAGAGGAAAACTTTAGCTGTGGATTTTTAGAAGAGAGAAAAGGAATTTTGGACAGTTTTGAGGCTTGGTTGGGGGGGTGACTTCGGGCCTAGGTGGGGTCACCTGTCCTCACCTCCTTCATTTTAACCATCAATCCCTTTTCCCAGCAAACTCTGGGAATGGGAGCTCTGTGAACAGGAGTCTCTTAACTCTCAGTGCCCTGAACAAGCTGTTATTCCTAGGATTCTTTGGGGGAAGCCATGATGGTTTAAAGTGGTATGATACCGCTTTAAATCTATAGTGCAGATGGGCCTCAGTATAAGGCACCTTGCTATGTGTCCCTGTTCCAACTTTACAAAAAGGTGGAAGAGGCAATTCCTGAGAAATTCTCCTGACTCTTTCTTTCTTTCTTTCTTTCTTTCTTTCTTTCTTTCTTTCTTTCTTCTGCAGCTGGCAAGACATAGTCAACAAGGTCAATGCCCAGGTGGATGAAGAACAGGCTCCTCGTTACCCACAAAGCCTCCACCTGGGCGGCCGACCCGGGCAAGAGCGAGCGATAGCCGACGTCAATCAAGCGCTGGCCAATCCACAGAGAGGGGCGGGGAAGCAGCGAGCCAGTTGGGAAGCGGGAAAAGGAGGAACGGATGATGAGGAACTCCATATGGGTATGGGTTCCGGAACTTCTGGGTTCCTGATCTTAAGGGGGCTGTTACGTGGGTGGGCAGAGGAGGATTCTGGGATTGCTCCATGTGATGTCACAGGGCACAGCCTTCTGCACATGCATGTTTTGGGGTGGTGAGTTGGGAGTGGGAAATGAACTCCTGTCAATGAAATACAAAGATGGGCAATCTGTGGCCCTCCAGTTTTGCCAAACTCCCACAGTACCAGAAGTCTGGCCAGTAGCCAGGGATGGTGGGATCTGTGGTCCAGCTACATCTCTAATATAAAGTCTTGTTCAGCCACTAGATAGATAGATAGATAGATAGATAGATAGATACAGTGGTACCTCGGGTTAAGTACTTAATTCGTTCCAGAGGTCCGTTCTTAACCTGAAACTGTTCTTAACTTGAAGCACCACTTTAGCTAATGGGGCCTCCCGCTGCCGCCACGCCGCCGGAGCATGATTTCTGTTCTCATCCTGAAGCAAAGTTCTTAACCCGAGGTAATATTTCTGGGTTAGCGGAGTCTGTAACCTGAAGCGTACATAACCCGAGGTACCACTGTAGATAGATAGATAGATAGATAGATAGATAGATAGATAGACAGACACACATACAAACACACACACACACACACACACACACACAAACAAACACAAACACACACACACACACACACACACACACACACACACATTGTGTGGAACAAAAGGAGGAGAGCCAGAAAGAATTCATTCATTCATTCCAGTTCCTATCCTGCCCTCCTTCCCAAAGGAGTCAAGCGCAGCAAATATCAAAACGTTAAAACTGAAAATAAAATGAAAATGAAATCACTTAAAGGCCATTAAAAAACAACAACAACCAACAAAAAACATTCAGAACTCAAAGCACATGTGTGTGAGAGAGAGATCCTTTAGGTTAATGGGGTCATTTGTGTGGGTTTGGCATTGTGCCTTGTACAAATCTCCGTAGAAATACAGTAGTCATGGAAGTGGGGTGAAAAAAGCTGGGCGGGGAGGTTGTTTGCCTGCCAGGGGCCCAGAAACCAACTAGCAGGGCCAGGGACTCCGTTGGTTCCCCCTGTGATCTTCCCATCATGCCATCCCCTCCACTTCTCTGAACGAAAGCTACTTGTTGCCATGACGATAGAGGGAGCATCCATGCTGCTCTGTGTCCTGCCACAGCATCGCTAGGCCCACAAGCAGCCATCTTCACTGGCTCTGCAGCCGGGTAGTTTCCATGGATACCTTGCAAGTCCTGCTCTCACCTGAAGGAAAACCCCTGCCGCCCTGCCCCGGCCGAAAAGCATGTCAATTAACATTATTTATTAAATTTCTAGGCGGTCCTTCCACCTAAAGGAGCCAACTAAAAGTAGGGAAACAATACCATTAAAATAAAATAAAAACCTATTGAAAAGCATTCCAAACATCTATTTTAAAAAGAAAGAAAGAAAAACAATGGTCATGTTTTAGCATAGCTAATAAATAATTTCCAAGGTTGCTGGGAACAGTCTCTCTCTGTCATCAAACGCCTGGGTGAATAGGAATGTTCCTTCAAAAATCTCTCCTGAATGTTAATAATGAGGGAGACAGACTCACCTCACTCTGGGAGGTACTCCAAATTTAATCCCCCTGCCTTTCTAAAAGGAATTGGAACCAGCACACATTTTATTTCATTTCATAAGATTTATACACTGCTTGATTGTAAAACAAACAAAAAAAAAACCCCCTCAAAGGATGCTTCTGGGATCAAGCCACCAATTAGTATATATATTGTACTAATTTAAATATTAACACCTATGGAAAGAATCCTCCTCTGAGTTCTTGTTCTTCAGCAACTGGGAGACTGGACACACAACAGGGGGGGGGGAGTAATACAAGAGCCATATTTCTTAATTTGTTCTTTACTGGGGGTTTTTAATTGTAGGTTTTTCTGGAAAAATATATATAAATACATTTATAAAAAACAAATGCAAGATTGGAAAAGTGAGAAACCAAGAGAAGCTGAAATACACTTTGCCCTTCCCTACTGTTGAGCTTGAGATTGTATATTCTTTGGGGCAGGGATCCTGCCACTTTGGGGCTTGTGCTGCTCCCATTTCCATAGGCTTTGGAGTCGCAGGTTTTAGAAGCAGGACAAAAATTGGTTGGGAATGCAAACCGTCTGCTTGATGCCGTAATCAATCTTACAAAGCGCAGTTGGGAGAAGTGGGATTTGAACCCATAGCTCCCGAAGAGACGGTGCTTTGTCAGGTACAGGGCAACAAACAAGATGGATGGTTCCTCCACATACAGGAGCTGACTAGACTGGAGACAGGCATTGTTAAGAGGTTTGACACTTTCACCTTTTCTTTTCTTTTTACTTTTGTTCAGATGCTGGCATGATTGAGAAAGGAGGCAATTCTCAGCCCCAGAAGGATGCAGTCATCCAGGAACCAGTGGTAAGAAGAGAGGAAACTGGGATTTTTACACGGTCAGGAAACAACATGTGGTGGCACCCAACTTGTGGAATGCTCTCCCCAGGAAAGCTCGCCTGACACCTTTGTTGCATATCTCCATATATTATTTTGTTGAAATAATTTTTATTTGATTTTTAAAAGTATAAAGTTATAACAATACAACCATACACATACACATTTGGAGATTCCTCCGAATCTCTGGACTTCCCACCTTCCCCTCCATCCTATTATTAAATTGTTTTTTACTGCATCTTTCTACACCATCATATTTCACTATCTTCTAAACATTTTCTAAGGCTGATAATGTGAATGTTTATTTAAATCCTGCCATCAAGTCTATTGACTTTCTTTGCTTCTGCAAATATAATATGAATGGTTCCCAAACTTTTTCAAAGTCTCTGTTGTCTTTTTCTCTTAGTCTAGCTGTCATTTTTGCCAGTTCTGCAGAGTTCATCAACTTCTCTTGCCATTGTTCTTTAGTTGGTATTTCTCCAGTCTTCCAATTTTGTGCAATCAACATTCTTGCTGCTGTCGCTGTCCAAGTTGGAGGCAGCCTGGGGTTTCCACATCTTCACCATGTGCAGCGTAAAGATAGACTTCCCTGTCTGCCTCCCACCATTCAGTTTCATTTGATAATGCCTTATTTTTTAGTACGATGAGGCGGGAGAGAAAAAGCCACGTAGCGCTGGCTGCAATGGGTTGACTCTAAGAACCATAAGAAGGGCTAGAGTTCTATGAGGATTACAGAAGGAGGGGATCAGACTTTGTCTTGGCCAAAGGCCTGGTGGAACAGCTCTGTCTTGCAGGCCCTGCCGAAAGATGTCAAGTCCTGCAGGGCCCTAGTCTCTTGTGACAGAGCGTTCCATGAGATTGGAGCCACAACCAAAAAAGCCCTGGCTCTGGTTGAGGCCAGCCTAACCTCCCTGTGGCCTGGGATATCCAACAGGTTTTTATTTGAAGACCATAAGGTCCTCCATGAGACATACCAGGAGAGACGGTCCCGTAGGTACGAGGGTCCTAGGCCGTATAGGGCTTCCGACTGTGAAGGCAGAGTGTAGCCACCTCCGCCGATGAATTTGTCCCATCCTCTTTAAAAGTCATCCAAGTTGGTGGTCAACACTGCCTCCTGTGGGAGTGAATTCCACAGTTTAACTGAATAGGACTAGCATTGGAGACAACTCTGTGTGGGTCCCTCATTCCTTGCTTTCCTGCTCAGGTGCCTGATGCTGCTGACCCTGCCAAAGACCCCAACAATCAAGGGGAAGATGAGTTCGAGGAGGCAGAACTGGAACGCCCAGACTTTGAAGAGAAACTAGGTCAGGCTGTTCCACTAGGCCACACCAACGGACCAGCTAAAGATGCAACAAAGGGAAAGATTCAGAAGGTAAAACTTTTGTTTCTTGTTTGGAGTTTGACCCTGGAGCTGTAAAGAGTGCCTGGAACTGGAGGCAGCTCAGATGACAACACAGTAAACCATGGTTTGTTTGGGTGGGAGATGCACCTCAGCAACGCTTGAGCTCCACCTCCTGCTCTTTTCTCCAGCACAGCTGCAAAGATGAGCTTGGAAGTTTGTGGTTCTGTTTTCTGTGCGCAGCCTGGGAGTCATTTTGGACTCGCAGCTGTCCATGGAGGCGCAGGTCAATTCTGCGTCCAGGGCAGCTGTTTACCAGCTCCACTTGGTACGCAGGCTGAGACCCTACCTGCCCACGGACTGCCTCACCAGAGTGGTGCATGCTCTGGTTATCTCCTGCTTGGACTACTGCAATGTGCTCTATGTGGGGCTACCTTTGAAGGTGACCCAGAAACTACAACTAATCCAGAATGTGGCAGCTAGACTGGTGACTGGGAGCAGCCACCGAGACCACATAACACCGGTCTTGAAAGACCTACATTGGCTCCCAGTACGTTTCCGAGCACAATTCAAAGTGTTGGTGCTGATCTTTAAAGCCCTAAATGGCCTCGGTCCAGTATATCTGAAGGAGCATCTCCACCCCCATTGTTCTACCCAGACACTGAGGTCCAGCCCCGAGGGCCTTCTGGTGGTTCCCTCACTGCAAGAAGCCAAGTTACAGTGAACCAGGCAGAGGGCCTTCTCGGTAGTGGCACACACCCTGTGGAGCGCCCTCCCACCAGATGTCAAAGAGAACAACAACTACCAGACTTTTAGAAGACATCTGAAGGCAGCCCTGTTTAGGGAAGCTTTTAATGTTTGATGCATTACTGTATTTTAATATTTTGTTGGAAGCTGCCCAGAGTGGCTGGGGAAGCCCAGCCAGATGGGCGGGGTATAAATAAATTATTATTATTATTATTATTATTATTATTATTATTATTATTATTAATTATCAATCAACTGCAGCTCACCATGGTGCATGGAACTGATAAACCATGGTTAATCTTAACGATGCATTGTGAATAAGAACATTTCCTGCAGGCTTCTGGTTGGCCTCTTTGAGAACAGGATGCTGGAATAGATGGGCCACTGGCAGACTCTTAATGTTCAGCTGAAGGTTGCCCAGAACAAAATGTGCATGTCCTATTGAAAAAGATCCTTCTGCCCCTGATTTCTGGCCTGGAAGGTGTTACGGGAGCTCAGCAGAGCTGTCCCCACCTGATACCCTTTAAAGCTGCTCAGGCTGGTCTGGCCCCTTCAGCAGAGCAAGCAACTGGCTGTTCAGGCTCTCAGACCTTCCTCCTCCTTCCCCTCACTCGCCTGTGGGTTATTATCCGAGAGACGAGATCCCCTACCTTGTTTTGACAAGCTGCCAAGCCTTCTCTGTGTCTCCTGTTTCTCCAAGGCTGCATTTTACCTGTCAAAATCTAAAACAAAAATTGGTAGGTAGGTAGGCAGGCTCGGTTTGTTTTGTTTCTTTAAAAAGTACACTCACACAGTGGCATCCGAGCAGAAAGTGTGGCCCTCTCTAGATGGGTTTGGCTGTAGACTCGGGTGGATCTGAGTGCTGCAGATGTTAGTTTTTGGAACTAGCTTGAAAGGTGTGGGGTGCGGAGGGAGGGAGAGGGGGACAGAGAAAGAGAAAGGGAGGAAGAATAATGCGTGTGAGCGTGTGAGAGAGGGGGACCTTTTCTGACACCCGAATAGGCCTTTCCTTGCAATCCTATGCTGTCTCTGACCTTCCTAGGGTCTGATGCTACTTTTGAAGTCCTGGGCAGAGGATTCAGGGGTCACTGTAGGGTTTAGGGCAGGGGTCACCATACTTTTTCAGCAGGAGGCCAGTCCACTGACCCTCAGACCTTGAGGGGGGCCGGACTATATTTTTTGGGGGGGATGAATGAATTCCTATGCCCCACAAATAACCCAGAGATGCATTTTTTAAAAAAAGGACACATTCTACTCATGTAAAAACACGCTGATTCCCAAACCGTCCACAGGCTGGATTTAGGAGGCGATTGGGCCAGATCTAGCCCCCGGGCCTTAGTTTGCCTACACATGGTTTAGGGTATAGTTGAAGGCTTTTGAGAAGCCCAGGTGACATATTCATGGGGACTAGATGCTTGTTGTTATCAAAGTAAGGCCTACCCAGAATTGGCACCTTTAAATTACTGGATCTAAGTTAGTCACATGTAATGATTTTGGAAATACAGTGGTACTTTGGTTCTCAAACTTAATCCGTTCCGGAAGTCCATTCCAAAACCAAGGTGTGCTTTCCCATAGAAAGTGATGCAAAATGGATAAATCCGCTCCAGCAATTTAATATGAATTTTACTATCTAACGAGACCATTTGTCCATAAAATGAAAGCAATAAACAATGTACTGCAGTCACACAGTCAATCTGTAGCTGAACTGGATTCCACACAGTCACAAAAGCAAAAAAAAAAGAGCCGCAAAAACTAAAATGCATAATAAATAGCAAAAACAGACAGACCTCAACTAACACTCAAAACGGAAGTGTGGCACTCAAATCATCAGTGTAACACTCAAAACTTAGCACATTCGGCTTCAAAAAAAAGTTGCAAACCGGAACACTTACTTCCAAGGGTTTGCAATGTTTGGGTTCCAAGTTGTTTGAGTACTAAGGCGTTTGAGAACCAAGGTACCACTGTATCCTTTTTCCAGACTGTTGACTCTATTGGATTTGTGTTTATAATTCATTCTCTCTCTCTCTCTCTCTCTCTCTCTCTCTCTCTCTCTCTCTCAATCTCTCTCTCTCTCTCTCTCTCTCTGTGTGTGTGTATATTTTATACACACTGTGTGTGTGTGTGTGTGTGTATAAATATATATGAAGAAATTAATGGACCTAAGTTAGTCATGCTGATTAATTTCAGTGGGTCTGCTCTTGAGTAGGACTAATGTTGGATACAACCTTGTTGGCTGCCTTAACGACTATAGGTAGTTCTTTCTGATTTCCAATTATAGCGAAGCTCTTTGAAGGGGTCTCTTGCCTTTTCCACTGAGGAGTTTCTCCCTGGAGTCATGGTCGGGCAGGATCCTGACAACTCGTTAATCCAAAATATTTACTGTGTGCATTCCAGAGAGCAGTAATATAGCAAAAAATAACAACAATGCCATATTTACTTGAATGTAATGTGCACCTTTTTTGGCCAAATTACGTTGTGGAAATTTGGGGGCGCTTTAGATTTGGTGGCACCAGCAAATACTTTTTTGGTTTCAAGGTTTTGAAAACTGAGGTGCGCATTAGATTCAGTGGTGCATTAGATTCACGTAACAACAACAACCTAGGTCTTGCCAGTCCTAGCCCAACAGTCTTAACCCCTACACCAGGCTGACTCGGAGCAGATCTACATTTTCCTGAATAAAACCCCCTCTTTGTGCCTTTCCTTTCCTTTCCAGGCTGCTGGTAGACCAAAGAAAATCGCAGATGACCCAATGGATGATTATCAGGAAGACCAGGAGCAAGATCTTGTATGAAAAACAGGTTCTTCTCTTTTCTCTGTCCCTCCCCAACTCTCAAACTTCTCTTGAGAATATGCCTTCAAGAAAAATGCTAATGCTGTTCAAAATTCCCAGGCATCTTTTTGACATTTAAGGCAGGTTTCCTGGTCTAAAAAGTTACAGATTTCAGCAGGAAGTTACAGGACGTGCGCCAGCTGAAAATGAGGTGCCCCAGTAAGGGAAAATAAATAATGGAATCTCAGTGTAAAAAGGTGCCTGGAGGAGTCCTGGAGGATTGCTCTGCTTAGTAATCAGTTGGTTAAGCAGTTAACTAAGGAGTAGTGGAGGGTGCCCCACTAACCTTGGGCTTCCCCCAGCCAGCCCCCCCGCTGCCTGCCTTCTCCGTTGTCGGATCTCCTTTTCCAGCCGTCCAAGTTGGTAGCTGTCACTGTTGGCATGCGACCAAGGAAACGGGGGCAGCTGGCAGGCCCCCATCTGGCTCCAGCCCACCGGCCGGTGTACCGGGCGATCTCCAGTCCTTGGTGCAGCATCTGTGACCCAAGCTTCAGAAGCTAGGGCACGCTACTCAGCAGAGTAAACACTACACAACAGAATGGCAGGAGAAGTTGTGTGAGCATATTTACAAGCAGTTTATTCAGCATAAAGGTAAAGGGACCCCTGACCATTAGGTCCAGTTGTGGCCAACTCTGGGGTTGCGGCGCTCATCTCGCTTTATTGGCCGAGGGAGCCGGTGTACAGCTTCCGGGTCATGTGGCCAGCATAACTAAGCCGCTGAGCCAGAGCAGCGCACGGAAATGCCGTTTACCTTCCCGCCAGAGTGGTACCTATTTATCTACTTGCACTTTGATGTGCTTTCAAACTGCTAGGTTGGCAGGAGCAGGGACCAAGTAACAGGAGCTCACCCCGTCGCGGGAATTCGAACCGCCGACCTTCTGATTGGCAAGTCCTAGGCTCTGTGGTTTAACCCACAGCGCCACCCGCATCCCTTACATACATCAGGACAAAACATCAGGACATACATCAGCATACATCAGGACAAAAGGAAAACATGTCCGATCTCCTTCGTGTCCAAAGCAAAACAGCATAAGCAAAAGCTATACACAAACGGAAGTTCCCAGCATACTGTGCTGGAGTGTAAACAGACATGTGACACACCACAACCATGCCTGTTCCTTAAGGTGGAACGGAATATCCCAACAGTCACTGCCTCCTGCAGGAGCGAGTTCCACAGTTTAACGCCGCCCTGCATCAAGGACTTTCTTTGATCTGTCCCGAATCTTCCAACATTCAGCTTCATTGGATGTCTGGCAGTTCTAGGGAGAGAAAAAACTTCTCTCTGTTTCTCCACCCACTTTTGGTCACTTCGGTTTCCTTTCTCCTGAAGGAGCCCAGGGTGGCAAACACAGAAGCAGTCAAGCATCTTAAGAACAATTCCAATACAGGAGCAGACTGGGAAGGAGCTCGACTTAAAAGCCTTGCTGGAGTAGGGAGGGCTTCGGCAGGTGCCCAAAAGACAGTGCCTGTCTAGTATTTAATGGGAGGGAGTTTCAAATGATGGGGCCACCACAGAAAAGGCCCAGTTCCTGTGTTGTGTGTGGTATGGACCTCCTGATAAGACGGCATCACTTGGAGGAGGCCTTCACCTGCAAAGCATTCAGGTATTCTAGTCCCAAGCGGCATAGGGACTAGCGCCTTGAACTTAGCCTGGTAGCTGAAGGGCAGTCAGTACAAGTCTCTCAGCAGTGGCATATCATGATGGTGATGTCCTGCCTCATTTAATGCACTCTGATTCCACTTTAACAGCCATGGCATCCTGGGAACTGTAGTTTAAGGGGAATGAGAGTCACTAGGAGTCCCCTGCTCCCCTCACAGAGCTACAGTTCCCAGAGTAGTTTAACAAGCAGTCCCTCCTCTCAAGGAGCTCTGCATGCAAAACGTTCTGGGTCCAATTCCCAGACAAGAATACTGAGCTAGATGGGCCAATGGGCTGACTCCAGGTAAGGCAGCTTCATATGCCCCTTTTAAAACCACCCTTTTATTCCAACCATGAGGACTAGAATGTTGCTTCATTGTTAAGGGAGGAGCCATAGTTCCCCAATGGCCCAGGTTCAATCGCAGGCATCTCCAGTGAGGACTGAGAAAGATCCCTACCTGAAACCCTGGAAAGCTGCTGCCAGTCAGGGCAGATAATATTGAGCTAGATGGACCAATAGTCTGACTCTGTATAAAGCATAGAATCATAAGAGCCGGAAGGGACCATGAGGGTCATCCAGTCCAACCCCCTGCAATGCAGGAATCTTTTACCCAAGGTGGGACTTGAACCCGCAACCCTGAGATTAAGAGCCTCGTGATCTACTGAGTGAGCTATCCCAGCTGTAGCTTCGCATGTCTTAAGAGAAGAGCTGTGGCTCGATAGTAGAGCCTCTGCTTTGCATGCAGAACGTCCATTCCTCGGCATTGGGAATGTCATCCCCCTGAAACCCCGGACAGCTGCTGCCAGTCAGTGTAGACAGTACTGCGCTAGACGTCCCAATGGTCTGACTCGGTATAAGGCAGCTTCTTACATTCCCAACTGCTATGCATACATGATAGTTAGACTGGCGACCACTGTGCCGTTCACGCAGTGCCGCCTCCATCCCAGCCCATGAGCTGCACAAAATGCAAAAGTGTTTCTCTGGCGGCAGCAATGGCAGCAGCAGCAGCAGGCATTCCTTCTCTTCCACCCCAATTAATCTGCCCAGCTAACAAGCCGAGGCAGCTCCCTGACCTACTTTCCAAAATGCACGCCCCTGCTGTTCCCAAAGACAGGTAATCTCCTTCCCCCACTGTCCCCCAAATGCAAGGCACTTAGGAAGCGGCTTTTGAATTTTTTATATTTGCCATGCACTCTCACGACTTTCTTTTCCTGCTCTTAAAAAGGGAAAGCAACAGCAACAGATCACAGTGGCATTCTGTGGGTGTTTATTCCGAATTAAATCTGCCATGTTGCAGGGGAGGCCAGCCCATTGGGGCAAATGGGGGTTTCGCCTGTATGTCTTCTACCTTACAACCAGTCCAGGTGATGGCAACTGCCCATCAACTTCCTCCTCCTCCTCTGTCTCATTGATGCCCCTTTCAGAACTTAGCAGGAAGGATGGGGGCAAAGCAAAAATTAAGTCGGCTCTGCTTGTCATTGCCTCTGGCGCCACCTACTGTTAGGCTCCCTGCCTTCTGCCCTACCAGTCACCATGAGCACCCGTCGCCACTGATATTCAGTGATGTTGACTCCTGGGTGAGACTGGGATTGCAGCCTTCATTGCAGACATCTGCTGAAGGAGCAACAGCTCTTCTGTCTCCCAGAAATGAGCTTTCTGTGACTCTGACACACCCTGTCTCTGCTGCCAAGCACCCAAACAGGGATTATATAAGAGTGGAAGAAGAGTGTGCCTGCTGGACCATCTAGTAGTCCAGCATCCTGTTTTCACAGTGGCTGACCAGATGCCTTAATAATGTGCTCCTCCTCTGGTCCACCCTGAACCTCCCATCATTCAACTTCGTTGGATGCTGCCTGGCTATAGTGTTACGAGATGCAGGTACTCCTGGTCTGGTTGTAAATGAGACAGGAGACAGATAGGGGGGTCAGCTTGAGGTTGGACTAGCTTAGCAGGTGTGCTCTGACTGGCAGCTGCTCTCTAGGTTTCCAGAACCTTGAGGCATCTTTTCCAGCTACCAATCCTTTTTTTAAAAAAATAAAAGGACTAGAGAGGCCAGGGATTGAACCAGGAACCTTCTACATGCAGGCAGGTGTCCTAGAGTCTGCACCATTTGAAATGCCTGGCTTGCGCACCACAATGGCTACTCCTAGCATCTTCCTTGTGGGGTGGATGTGTGTGTAGCCTCTCACCACCTTCCCTTTCTCTTAAGACATTCAGTTCCTCTTCTGCTGCCCTTGCAGAGCTGCCTCCCATTAGCATATCAAAAACAGCCACCTGCCACTGTTTCAAAAAACAGCGGAGCAAGCCCCCCATGCCTAAGCAAATTGGGATATGGAATCAGGAGTGAGGATGTTGGAGAATTCTGATGAAAACAGCATGGAAGTGGAAAATCCTTGATGTTCCCTTATTCGTTTCAGTGTCTGGGACGGAAATCAATTCGGCAGATTTCGATCAGTATCCACCGTTGTTGTTTTCAGTCCCCAAATGACGCGCAGTTCTTTCAACACGCACACCAACCATTTGCACTGTGTTCCCTTTTTTGTATCTTAATGAACGGGCTGGAGTAACGCAAGGACAATATAATTTCCTTCATTAATTACCTAAGTTGTGCTGTTTTGCCATTGCGGACAGCGAGGCACACAGTGTGGGTTTCTTTTTTTGCAAAAGGTGAACCACTACAGAACGGAAACCGCGAGATGGCGGAATGGAAAATGGTGCCTTCTTCCATCTCTACCCCAGGAGATGCAAGGACACTGATTAGGTTCATTTGAGGACAGTTTTCCTTTGTCTTTCTCACCAAGTCACGTCACCCCTCCCCTCCTCTTCCCCTCCTGCCTCAGAACAAAGTGACAATGTTTACAGAAAAGAAACAACACCCAGATGCTTAAAATAGCTTTTCAAAGTCCACGCTCCTTTCCTTAAAACATAATAGAGAGAAGGCTCACAGGGCTGCAAAGGGCACATTTCATCGTGATGAGGTGGAGAAAATACCACCGAGACTGAGCCTGGCTTGTGCAGTGATGCACAGCAGAAACTCCTAGAGAGGCAGCTTGAGGGCGGAGCCAACTGGTGCATAGATGTGCACCTGACCGTACTCCCCAGGTCAAGCAACTGCCTGAAATTGAACGCTTGGCTCTCGGCGGGTCGCCAATATTCCTTGGAGGTTTTTAAACAGCGTGGTCATCTGCCAGGGGTACTTTAGCTGCAATTCCTAGATGACCATTGGAGTCCCTTCCAACTCGACCGTTATTCTGTGATTTGGGTTATAATCATTGGCGGTTTTTAGTTTAGGGGGGTGAGGCAGGTGGGGGCAGGGGAGCAGATGGTAATAATAATAATAATAATAATAATAATAATAATAATAATAATAATTTTTATTTATATCCCGCCCTCCCCAGCCGAAGCCGGGCTCAGAGCGGCTAACAACAGTAAAATGATAAAACATTCTAAAATCATTTCATTATAAAATTAATTCCATTCCGATTAATGGCAACCATTGGACTAGAGTTCTGTGAGGATTGCCAAAGGAGGGAGTCAGGTTGTGCCTTGGCCAAAGGCCTGGTGGAACAGCTCTGTCTTGCAGGCCCTAGTCTCTTGTGACAGAGCGTTCCACCAGATCGGGGCCACAGCCGAAAAAGCCCTGGCTCTAGTTGAGGCCAGCCTAACCTCCCTGTGGCCTGGGACCTTCAAGATGTTTTTGTTTGAAGACCGTAAGTTCCTCTGTGGGACATACCAAGAGAGACGGTCCCGTAGGTACGAGGTAGAGGGATATTAAAAAAATATGCACTGTGCAGAGAAAGGGAATAGGAAACTTAAGAGGAATTCATGGCTGTCAGTGGCTGCTAGCCACAATGGCTATGCCCTACCTCTGCTGTCTGGAATCGCAGGTGAGAAGAGCGCTGTTGCTCTCATGAGCTGCTTGCAGACTTCCAACAGGCCTCTGGTTGGCTACTGCAAGGACAGGATGCAGGAATAGATGGTTCATCAGCCTGAGCCGGCAGACAGTCTATTCCTTTGGGGTTTTTTAATACAAATTTAAGTCATAAATAGATAAATGTTTGGTGCAGATGTATCTTTGGTCTCACTTCCCGATTCCCCCTCAGAAACAAACAAACAATAACTGAGCACTTTCCCCCCTTGCCCAATAACAGGAAGATCATGGAGGTGAAGTAGACGATGCTGATGATCTGGAACTGGCCCAGGAACCCAGAGGCCGAGTGGAAAGAGACTACTAAATTTCACGCCGGCTCGATGGGGGATACCAGAGGAAAGAGCCTCAAATGGAAGAGCTGGGCCAGAACACCGCTGCGATGAGGCTAGGAAACTTCTGTCCGTAACATTCAAGAGGGGCTAGCGCCCGATCTCTGCTTCCAGTAAATCACAGGTGTATCAACGTGACCAGTTAGCAAGGTCCAGGGCAGCTTGCAAGACAGATTTTGCTCTCTGGATGTTTCTTCTAAGGCGGAAGGGAGCTCAAAACAGAAAAATAAATTGCAGTTTCTCTTTTGATGGTTCTGTCCCTCCTGCCACACGCACACTTTCCCCCCATTTCAGAATTGTTAAGATTTGGGCCGTGAGGAGGGGCTGATGCTGTGTGGCCTCTGTTAGCCTTGGACAGTTCGTATCCTCCTCCTCCTCCCCTTTGTCTTGGACTCGACTCCGTTGCTCTTTAATGCAAAATCTGTTCATCTTTATATTAAAAAACAAGGAAGTCTTTTGAGAATGAGATTCTTTTTTTACATCCTGGTCTGTTTTGTTACGGGTAAGATATTGGGGGGCGGGGTGGCAGAAAGCGATGTTGCCTGTGTTTTGGAAGACAGAGAACACCCATCATCGAGACCCACTGCTGAAATGCAGGTTTATCGTGTGAACCTTATTTATTTATTACATATACACCCCTTGATTGTAAAAGCAGCAACCTCAAATCGGTTTACAAAAAGATTAAAGCAAGAAAAAAAGGCTTTCAGTGCTTAAGCACCGTAGGAAGCTGCCTTCAGCAGTGTCGAACCTATGAGACCATCTAGCCCTGTATTCCCTACACTGACTGGCAACAACTCTCCATGGTTTCAGACAAGGGACATTGCCAGCCCTGCTGGGAGATGCCAGGCATTGAACCTGGGAAAGTTGTTCTTGATTATCACCAGTCAGCAGTTTTTAATCTTATAAATTCAGTTTTATCAATAACCAGGGTAGGGAACCTCTGGCCTGTGGGCCAAATTTGGCCCAAATGAGCCCCGATTTGCCTTGAGGGCCCTCCAAACAACGTACACAAGCCCTGCATCTGACGTCAAATGTGACAGTGTAGGCAGTGAGAGAAGTGGCTGGATCGGGGACACAACTCAGTTTTGTGTTAACTCAGTAACGCAGCTGATCACCACCACTGTACCAAACATTTGGCTGCGAGAAAAGGATGCTGGGCCCAGCAGGGCTTTCATTTATGGTGGAAGGAAGGATGCAGGCAGGTGGGGAGCTGGGTAGGGCCACAGTCACACTTAATGTACCAGACTCAGCTGGTAGCAGCCAGGATGCCAGGTGCAAATGTCAGCTGAAAAGCCCAAGAGTTTGGAGCTGTGTAGCTGACGAAACTGTGAAGCCAGGGATTTCTGCTTGCTTTTGTGCTCTTCCCTCTCAAACTTTGATTTAATGCATCGCCGTCCCTCGCTGCCTGCCATGAATAGCTCTTTCCAAACAGATTAATCAGAAGCTAATTCGTCTGCCGGGCCATGTAGCAGTCAAACGACATCCCCAACTCACTCCGGGGATGCGGCCCTTTTCATCACCAGCCGGGATTCTGATCTGAGCTGACATGCTCTTGGTTTCGACACGGCCGTTTCTCTGCCAAAGCCTCCTCTGAGAAATGAGTAATGGGGGTGGATTTTCTGCCTGAACCTTTGCTCCTGTCCTCCTTCCGCCAATCTCCTTGATGGAATAAATGAGCTGTGCCGCTTGTCCCAGGCAAAGTCCAGAATTATTAGTAGTATCAAAGCTAAAATGTAAACGCCACAGCAGCCTTTCTGAAGCTTGGTTCCCCAGATGCCGTTGCACTACAACTCCCATCATCCGTGACCACTGGTTCGGCTAGATAGGGATGATGGGAGTTGTAGTCCAAAAACATCTGGGCCCCAAGGTTGAGAAAGGCTGATCTGGAGGGCCAAGTTAAGTTGCCGGTCAAGTTGTCAAGGGCTGATTTCTTGTCCTGTGATAAAAAGCCTTCTGTTTCAACCGCCAAACCTTTCAGGGGAGCATTTGCAACCGTTGGGGACCATTTTTGAGTGAACTGCCGAAAGTCAGATTTTTTCTGAAATTGTGACCCCGGGGCTTAGGGATTTTTTCAAAAAAGTCTTGTCCGCCGCTTAAGTTGTCGACGGCTGATTTCTTGTCCTGTGATAAAAACCCTTCTGTTTCGACCGCCAAACCTTTCAGTGGAGCATTTGCAACCTTTGGGCACCATTTTTGAGTGAATTGCTGAAAGTCAGATTTTTGTTGAAATTGTGACCCCGGGGCTTAGGGATTTTTTCAAAAAATCTTTTTCCGCCGGTTAAGTTGTCGAAGGCGAATTTCTTGTCCTGTGATAAAAAGCCTTCTATTTTGACCGCCAAACCTTTTAGGGGAGCATTTGCAACCGTTGGGCACCATTTTTGAGTGAATTGCTGAAAGTCAGATTGTCCTGAAATTGTGACCCCAGGGCTTAGGGATTTTTTCAAAAATCTTTTCCACCACTTAAGTTCTTGAGGGCTGATTTCTTGTCCTGTGATAAAAACCCTTCTGTTTCGACCGCCAAAGATTTCAGAGGAGCATTTGCAACCGTTGAGCACCATTTTTCAGTGAATTGCTGAAAGTCACATTTTTTCTGAAACTGTGACCCCGGGGTTTAGGGATTTTTTCAAAAAATCTTTTTCCACCGCTTAAGTTGTTGAGGGTAGATTTCTTGTCCTGTGATAAAAACCCTTCTGTTTTGACCACCAAACCTTTCATAGGAGCATTTGCAACCTTTGGGCACCATTTTTGAGTGAATTGCTGAAAGTTAGATTTTTTCTGACATTGTGACCCGGGGCTTAGGGCTTTTTCAAAAAAAAATTCCGACGGTTAAGTTGTTGAGGGCTGATTTCTTGTCCTGTGATAAAAGCCTTCTGTTTCGACCGCCGAAGATTTCAGAGGAGCATTTGCAACCGTTGGGGATCATTTTTGAGTGAATTGCCGAAAGTCAGATTTTTGTTGAAATTGTGACCCCGGGGCTCAGGCATTTTTTCAAAAACTCTTTTTCCACCGGTTAAGTTCTCGAGGGATAATTTCTTGTCCTGTGATAAAAACCCTTCTGTTTCGACCGCCAAAGATTTCAGAGGAGCATTTGCAACCGTTGGGGACCATTTTTGAGTGAACTGCGGAATATCAGGGTTTTCTGAAATTGTGACCCCGGGGCTTAGGGATTTTTTCAAAAACTCTTTTTCCGCCGGTTAAGTTGTTCAGGGATAATTTCTTGTCCTGTAATAAAAAGCCTTCTGTTTTAACCGCCAAACCTTTTAGGGGAGCATTTGCAACCGTTGGGGACCATTTTTGAGTGAATTGCTGAAAGTCAGATTTTTCTGAAATTGTGACCCCGGGGCTTAGGGAATTTTTCAAAAAATCTTTTTCCACCGGTTAAGTTGTCGAAGGCTAATTTCTTGTCCTGTGATAAAAAGCCTTCTATTTTGACCGCCAAACCTTTTAGGGGAGCATTTGCAACCGTTGGGCACCATTTTTGAGTGAATTGCTGAAAGTCAGATTTTTTCTGAAATTGTGACCCCGGGGCTGAGGGATTTTTCCAAAAAATCTTTTTCCACCGCTTAAGTTGTTGAGGCCTGATTTCTTGTCCTGTGATAAAAACCCTTCTGTTTCGACCGCAAAAGATTTCAGAGGAGCATTTGCAACCGTTGGGGACCATTTTTGAATGAATTGCTGAAAGTCAGATTTTTACTGAAACTGTGACCCCGGGGCTGAGGGATTTTTTCAAAAAAGTCGTGTCCGCCGCTTAAGTTGTTGAGGGCTGATTTCTTGTCCTGTGATAAAAACCCTTCTGTTTCGACCGCCAAACCTTTCAGTGGAGCATTTGCAACCTTTGGGCACCATTTTTGAGTGAATTGCCAAAAGTCAGATTTTTGTTGAAATTGTGACCCAAGGGCTTAGGGATTTCTTCAAAAACTCTTTTTCCGCCGGTTAAGTTGTCGAGGGATAATTTCTTGTCCTGTGATAAAAAGCCTTCTATTTTGACCGCCAAACCTTTTAGGGGAGCATTTGCAACCGTTGGGGACCATTTTTGAGTGAATTGCTGAAAGTCAGATTTTTTCTGAAATTGTGACCCCGGGGGTTAGGGATTTTTTCAAAAAAGTCGTGTCCGCCGCTTAAGTTGTCAAGGGCTGATTTCTTGTCCTGTAATAAAAAAACCTTCTGTTTCGACCGCCAAAGATTTCAGAGGAGCATTTGCAACCGTTGGGGACCATTTTTGAGTGAACTGCGGAATATCAGGTTTTTCTGAAATTGGGACCCCGGGCTTAGGGATTTTTTCAAAAACTCTTTTTCGGAGGTTTAAGTTGTCGAGGGATTATTTCTTGTCCTGATAAAAAAAGCCTTCTGTTTTAACCGCCAAACCTTTTAGGGGAGCATTTGCAACCGTTGGGGACCATTTTTGAGTGAATTGCTGAAAGTCAGATTTTTGCTGAAATTGTGACCCCGGGGCTTAGGGATTTTTTCAAAAAATCTTTTTCCACCGGTTAAGTTGTCGAAGGCTAATTTCTTGTCCTGTGATAAAAAGCCTTCTATTTTGACCGCCAAACCTTTGAGTGGAGCATTTGCAACCTTTGGGCACCATTTTTGAGTGAATTGCTGAAAATCAGATTTTTTCTGAAATTGTGACCCCGGGGCTGAGGGATTTTTCCAAAAAATCTTTTTCCACCGCTTAAGTTGTTGAGGGCTGATTTCTTGTCCTGTGATAAAAACCCTTCTGTTTCGACCGCAAAAGATTTCAGAGGAGCATTTGCAACCGTTGGGGACCATTTTTGAATGAATTGCTGAAAGTCAGATTTTTACTGAAACTGTGACCCCGGGGCTGAGGGATTTTTTCAAAAAAGTCGTGTCCGCCGCTTAAGTTGTTGAGGGCTGATTTCTTGTCCTGTGATAAAAACCCTTCTGTTTCAACCGCCAAACCTTTCAGTGGAGCATTTGCAACCTTTGGGCACCATTTTTG